TCGGTTTGTTCCAGAACGTTTTTGTGATGTCAGTTATAGTCAACATATTATAGTCATATTTGCAATGCTTGGACAAAATTTAATTAATTCGAAAATTAAAGAGTCGATAGAAAAATGAAAATACTTTATTTCATTAATATTAGCTGGTTTGTGAATTACACATTTCACTTAATTCTAGTGAATAATTATTCACATTGTTGAAGCATTGTGCATATGATTTTATTGTAAATATATTTAGCATGTAACCATGATTGATACGGTTTGCCTTGTCCATCTGGGTCCTCGTCCCGTTCCCCGGGCAGAATTTATTAGCAATTCTGGCGAAGAGATGCACAACAAGGTGACCAACAAGTTGTTTTATTCAATTAATAATTTGCATGCTTTATCGCACTGTGAAAAGCTCCCTTAAGTTTCACTTTAACTTGCCTTGTCGTACTTTGAAAAACTCATTGTAGGAACTAAATTTCATGTAATACTTTAACTTGTAACGAACTTCATTTTGTCAGAAAATCCTTTTACTCTTTTTTGCAACAATAGATTTGTAAAGACATATTCAGTTTGTTGTTTTTCTCTACATCAGGTACATTCCTCACCGAATCCTGAGTGATCTCAATCTTCGAAGGAAGATTTCAATGTTTCCATGATTTTTAAATTATTTACGTTATGTTAATCAATGATGGTCATTAATAGATTTGTAAAGACATGTTCAGTTTGTTGTTTTTCTCTACATCAGGTACGTTCCTCGCCGAATCCTGAGTGATTTCAATCTTCGAAGGGAGATTTCAATGTTTCCATGATTTTTAAATTATTTACGTTATGTTAATCATTGATGGTCATGAATAGATTTGTAAAGACAATTTTAAAATAATCAATATTAAAATAATCAAACAGGTCTCTCCAGCTTTCAGCTGGGCCCCTAGTTTCGGAGTGTCACTTTTGCTGCAGTAACTTAATATCTGGTTTTCTTTTGCTGCATAGCATTTGATTTTTGTATCTGGTTTATTTGAGGCTAGTGTTTGATGATTATTGAGAGCCTATGTCGCAGATGCTAGGTTTCTTAATGTCTCAGTCGATGTTTCGATTTCGGCACATTGCAGATTTGTTTACTAGTTTTGTTTTTCATTCAAGTTTACTCCATTTTGACCTTTTTGTAGCTTATTTTGCCGTTTTTATTTGTGTTTGCGAAGTTGCAGCTTCGCCACTGTTATTTAAGTGGATTCCTTACTAGCTGGTATTTATTACTGTGTTAGCGACCCAAGAGGGGCAGCTGGTTTTCGACGTGAGAGACTGTCAACGACTTAACCATTGAATCGTATTATACAGGTAGATTTGAGAGGTAGTTTGAATCCTGCAGTAGGTTTTCTTAAATCTTTCCAAGCTTGTTTTTCCTGGCTAATTATTATTTTCACGCATTTTCATAGCTGCATTTTGCCAAACATCTTTTCTTACAAATCTTGCTTGATTCTCTTACCTGCTTTATCATTGAAGCTCAAGAAATTGCAGGTTCGTTCCTTTTTAGCCGAAAGGTAACGACGTTGTCTTTGCACCCTAAGGTCAGGGGTTCGAGTCAGTATATATGCATTGAATGGTCGGTCTTTTTTTTTAAGTCGGCTCAGTCGACACATCAGGGACTAGGGTTGTGCTGTAAGGAACTTTCTTTGAAGTTGCAAGTGGTAGTGTTTATCGATGTAGCTTCAGGGAGACTTAAGATTTTAAAAATGAAAACTAAAATTTTTTTCCAGATCAACTGGTGTCTGTTCTAATATTGTCGGCTTCGTTTCCACATCGCAATTTTTACTTCTGTTGCAAGGAACTTTCATTGTTGTCGCAAACGCTAATGTTTATCAATTTAGTTTCACGGGGACTTCAAAATTTCGAAATTTTAAAAATTAAATTTGATTTTTTTTTCGACTCAAGTGGTGTCTGCTCTGAGATCGTCGGCTTAATTGCCACACTATGGATTAGGGTTGTGCTGTAAGCAACTTTCTTTGTAGTTGCAAACAATTAAATTATTATTTTTTCGGCTTCATCTGTACTTAAAAATTGTCGGCTTTGTTTCATCTTCGTTCCGTTCTTTTGCTTATTTTATAATCAAATGCCTGGCATCTTTCCCTAAAATGGATTTGTACCGATGTTTTTAGACTTCTTATGTTTTTTATGTTTGTGTTGTATTGCAATTGATGCGAATCTCTGCTTCACCTCTGAGTAACAAAATAAATTGTGCTTTCTTCAAATTTGTTTTATATAATTTTCATATTTATGCTCGATTTGAGCTTTCTTTCCCATTTTTTAATGAATTGGCCAAATGGGAGTTAAGATTTTGAAAAATTGGCTCTCTCCCCATCAAGTTTATGATAATTTGGCGCCCTACGAAAGTTTTTGGCCGGCCCAAATATGGTAAAATAGTAACAATAGTCTTTTTGGGTGATCAGAGAGTGAAAAATGAGGGGATCTGTTACTTAATGAAGTTAATTACATAACTTTGATTAATCGAACACTAGTGATCTCCATTACCCTGCATAATAACGTCAATAATTGTTTTCGATATCTTACCGATATTTCTGGAACTGAAGATGCCAGTTTTGTCATCTGCTGTAACTTTTCCCTGCGTCTCAAATAAACCCATTAAAAGAGGTAATAGTGTCATTTGAAGCATTCGCAACGAGATAGTTCAATAAGTTGGTGTGATGATTTTCGTAGCTTCAAACCTCACCTGTTTTTATTGAGCCATATTCAAAAGGTTTAGATCCAGTTTTTGCTGATGGTAAGAACAATTTTTTTTAGATTATTGAAATTGGTTGAGATTAAGAGTGCTCGATTGAGGAAAGTTTTCTGCGATGTTTTAATTGGAAGCATTCCAGAAAGAATCTGTTTGAAAACATTCCGGCTAGTAAAAAGCAAATAAATGTATGTGCAGTTGGTAATGTATACGTTTTGGATTCTAAACCACTTGGCAACTTGCGTAATACTCTTTTTGAAGCGGTCTTATTTTTCATTTTTGAAATTCTTCAATATTTTTTTTGCTTTTATTGGTTTGCCCGCGTTTGAAATGGCAAGTAAAAGTTCAATATGAAATTCGAAAATAAACAATTGAGTTCCGAAACGTAGACGACTATAATAATGGAAGTTATAAATTTCTTCGGCTAATAATAGATTTGGTCCTGAATAACAAAATCAAACGCAATTCCTCGGTTATGTAAAAGACTATGTTCAAGATTTTTTTTGGTCAAATTTTCTAGGAAAAACATAGCATTTTTTTACTGATCACACTATAGTGTAATAGTACGAACTTTCTGTCCTAACTCGTATATAAAAGTTTTCACTTATTTTGTGGCATTTTTGCTATAATCACGATCTGTAGCATAGGAAGTTTCATAGCATCTGTTATCTGCTATGATGCTATGCGTAGTGTAATAGTACGAACTTTCTATCCTAACTCGTAAATAAAAGTTTTCACTTATTTTGTGGCATTTTTGCTATAATCACGATCTGTAGCATAGGAAGTTTCATAGCATCTGTTATCTGCTTTATTTGTGAATACAGTATATGACTTATTAAGGGTCCCTGTCTGAGTGGTTAGTACATGAGACTCATTTTCTCTAGGTCGCAGATCGATACTGAGACGTAGTCGAGTTTTTACTCATTCGAGGCTTATTTCTATTTTATCTTGTTGCACTTTATAGGGCTGCTTTGGCTCTTTTCCAGTTCCCCCTTTCAAATTCAGTTTGAAAAGCTTATTTAACGTTGTCATAATGAAATGAACTTTGGCATAGTGAACGAACTGACTGTGAAACTGCGAACAGTAAAACTGTGAACAGATTTGTCCTTCATCGTAACATCACGCATGTAGCAGTTATAACACGTAAAACAAACATACAAATCAATATTTTGAAAGGTGGGGGAAGTGGAAAAGAGCCGCAGCTTTTTGTCGTGTTTTTGGAGTGTGAATTTTTGAATATTTCTAATATTTATTTAAATGCGGGCTTCACTATCTCGTGTTCCGAGATTGACTTCTTCCTGATTTTTTAAAAGAAAATCAAGATATAAAAAATTTCAAAATCGAAAGTTGCTAACCCTGTAGTAAGGTTGAAGTCAGGTGCTGCGAGATACTCTCAGGGCTTGCAAATCTTGCCACCAAAAGTGATTGCTCAAATGTATTTAGTTTTCGAGATGTGACGTTTTTTTAATACATTGTTTAAAAATTTCAAAAAATCTTGAATTAAAATTACCAGCCCTACAGTGGGGTGTTCTCTGGTTACTCTCAAAGGCTGCAGATCTTGATTCCAAGTTTAATTGCTCGAATCATCTCAGTTTCTATGACATGCCGTTTATGGTTTTCAAAATTTTTGCAATTAATTTTCCAAGTTAGAAATACTCAACACTATGGCGGGTCTCTCAAGGTGCTCTCAGGATGTTTGTCTGGGCTCCAATTGTATCTGCCCAGCGTCTTTTGATTTCTTAGATATGGCGTTTTTGTTTTTTTGAAAATTTTCAACTCTGGTAAACTCAGAAATTCTTTTGAAATTTGACATTTTCTACCCTTTGTTGGGTTGATGTCAGGTTACTACCAGCGGGTGCATATGCAGCATCTCGTCCTATTATTTTCGCTCAATTTCTTTCATTAAACTTACTATGAAATGAAGAAAAAGAGTCTGATAATTTAACTCCATTACGCTAGAATACGAATCCCATTTTTGATTTTGATAAGTTTGCAATTGAAATTATTTCAGTTTCTTTTAATATGGAAAGTGCAGTTGTTTGCGGTCGACTATTTTAGGGTTTTCTTTTGAAGATCTGACACCCAGAGTTATGGATGTCGATTTTTTTAAGTCGCATTCATTTCTCTGTTTTTTCATATATTTATGTATAAGACTTTCATGCTCACTAATTTTTTAGGTGTGTAAGACGCTAGTGGTTTTTGAAATTTGAATAACATCTGACCGAATTTGTTGTTCGTTTTATTTCTCGACTCTATTTGACGTTATTTATAGTACCTTACTTAGTGTGAGAAAAAAAACACGAGATTAAAGTCCCCCCTTTCTCTCTCTCCCTCTCTTGTTGTATTGGACAATAAGTCGTAGTACTGTGATCCAAAGATGCAAGCTATATAACGTTTTAAATCCTCTATTAGTCAATCCAATGCTTGCGAGATCGACGAATGAGACTCAGCAATAGACAGCTGGGAGCTGAAATTTTGGAGAGGATTTTGGACAGATTCCAATGCAAAAACAGCGGAGTTAAAATGGCATTTGGATACGGATCTGCCGTTTTTCCTCAGAAAGGCAACGAACCTTCAGCCAATAAAAGTAAGAAAGGAAGCTCGAATATGGTCGATATCTGTCTTGTTGTTGAAGACACGAAGAAGTTTCACAATTTTAATCTCCACCTAAACATGCATCATTATTGCTCGACAGTTCGACTTATTGACTTGTTTGCCTCAAGAGCACAGAGTGCGAATTTTGTGAACAACCTGCAGCACCTGCCGTGCTCAGTGTATTTCAACACACTTGTGCAACTAGATGAATGCACTGTGTTCAAGTACGGAGTCATCTCTATGGAGAATCTTATTCGGGATCTATCTACGTAAGAATTGTTATTAATGTTTCACCAATTTTATTTCGCCGCCTTTTTTCAGGCTATAAGAAAGATTCGGGACTTAGGGAATGTGCTTATATTTTGGTTTAATTTGATTAACGTCCAATGCGTCTACGAAACTATCGTTATTTTTTATCCTCGCCAAAGTCTGAAAGTAGAATCTGAACATGTCTGCTTATGATTTTTGAATTGTAACCTCTACCACATTTTATGAAACACACACTGCAGACTCAACATATATTTTCAGCATATATGTTTTCGCATGTAATGTATTTATGCCAATTCACACCACAGAAAACGAAGAAAAAAAATCACCAAAATTTACGATGTAAAAAGTGATTATAAGCTCGGAATAGTAAACTGCTTTTTTGCGCATTAAAAGTTCAATTTCAAATGCTTGTATGTAATTTCATGATTATAAAAATTTAGTTTTTATGCGAACATGATTTTGAGTAAATGTATATATTTTTGTCTTTATCAGTTGGGACAGCCTATACTACAGCGGTCGTCTGCACAAGCCTGTCAAATTTGCACCCACCTCGCTTCTCTCTCCTTCTGAAGAAGAAGAGACTGTCAGATGGAGAGGGAGTCTTCAACGGAATCTGACAAGCGCGTGGAATGCGGCGTTGCTCTTGCAGCAAAAAGAAATCAAGGACAAATCAACTTCAGTTGAAGCTATGCCGTTGAGGTAAATTTTTTATGTCAGATCAAAAAATACAACAACTAGTGATTGGTTCACTTCAATAACATAAAAGCAGAAAAAATCGTTCTCATATTCTCAATTTCGACCTAATTCAATAAATTAAATCGAATCATTTGTATTTTCAAGGCCAAAATAAAAACTGAATTGCAATAGGATAAGTTGCTTAAATGCTCAATAAATTGATTCAGAAAAGCTGATAAGTTTTTTCAGCTATTTGCGAAGACGGCTCTAAGTGTTTTGATCAATAGGATAAAAAAAATCGTTGAGTGGGTCATTTGATTTTAGGTTTGAGCTAGCTGATCGTGCAAAACTCGACTCAAATAACTATGAATCATTTCCATCAAAATGTTTGCTTTTTCAAAGTTGATTGAGAAATTGGGATAATGGAGAAACTATCCGATAAAAACATGTTGAAAATTGATTCACTCCAAAATTATCCTTGATGAAAATGATTGTTACTCTCAAAAAGGAGAAGAAATTGAAAAAATAGTAGGAAACAAAAGAAAAACTAACTCAGGTTTAGTAACTACATTTTGACGTTCGCGATTAGCAAGCGTTATCGAATCGGAATATAGACTTTTTTCAGGTTAACTTCTTGTTTAACAAATACACTATTATTTTGGTTCATAATGAATTCAAACTTAGCTTGGAGTGAAAGAATACGCCTGGGATGCCCAAGCTTGCGGGTTTCAATCTGACCAGCAACTTTTTGGCTCTAGCGGAAACTTTAAGTTTCATCGGCTCAGTTGTAGCTTGTTAATTATTTTTTATTTTTTTTATTTAATGTCGTCGATTGTTTTTCTGGACTTGTTTTCCGCAAAGAGAACATGATTCCAGACAACATTTTGAATTTTTTTTAGTACTGGTTTTTATTTTTTTTCTACAATATTTTGAACTTAGTGACTTTCTTTTCCTGGCTGCTAGCTTGCACTGCACTTTTAATGTTGTATGGCAAAAGGCGCGAAGCTCCGCTTCGCCTCTGTGTAAAAATTTTTTTTTGACCAGACTAGATAATTCAATTAATTTCAATCATTTTATGTCAAAATTTCAGCCATGAATCTCAAGTAAATAACGAAAAAACGTGAAAAAGTTAACGTTCATTTTATCGGTTTACAACTGTATTGTGTGCTACTTTCAGGGATGTCTTCGTAGTACTTTGCGGCTTGTCTTACAACGGAGACTTCAGAATGATATTGGGAGAGGACAAACAGAAAGTGGTGCGAATAGTAGACAGCAGTTTCGAACAGCTGAAGAGTCTCTACATGCCAATCATCACTTCAGACCCTCATGTGAACTACTCGGAGTTGATGCACTCAGAAGGTGTCCAGGTGTGTTTATCGCCGGAAGCAGTGCAATATCGCATTTCACAGCTTCCTAAGAGGTAAGTCTTCTGATCTTATTCAACATCTTTTAGTTAGACATCTTGTAGAGCATTTACACTCCTTTAAAGAAAAATCCAATGGCTTCTATCAATGGTATATTAAAATTGTACCTAGTAACCAATCACTACTTTCGCAATTGAGGCGCTTTGCTTATCATATACTGGGCAACATTGAAAACCCAGTATGACAAATTGAGCTAATATATTTTCAGAGTAAGAATGGTTGAAAAAACTAAAACGTTTCATATGAACGCTTTTGATGCAAATTTGATCACATTTGCGTGTTTAATTTGCGTTTGATTCCCCCGCAATTTGCGTTTGATTCCCTCGCTTCCCTATTTTTGAATTACTTTGCAGATTTGAATTAAATTTAGGTCTGGAAATAACCAGAGAATGCCAACTAGAATACCAACAAAATTTGAATGAAATTTATGTCTGGAAATAACCAGAGAATGCCAACTAGAATACCAACAAAATTTGAATGAAATTTATGTCTGAAAATAACCAGAAAATGCCAACTAGAATACCAACAAAATTTGAATGAAATTTATGTCTGAAAATAACCAGAAAATGCCAACTAGAATACCAACAAAATTTGAATGAAATTTATGTCTGAAAATAACCAGAAAATGCCAACTAGAGTAACATTAAAATTTGAATGAAATTTATGTCTGAAAATAACCAGAGAATGCCACCTAGAATACCAACAAAATTTGAATGAAATTTATGTCTGAAAATAACCAGAAAATGCCAACTAGAATACCAACAAAATTTGAATGAAATTTATGTCTGAAAATAACCAGAAAATGCCAACTAGAATACCAACAAAATTTGAATGAAATTTTTGTCTGAAAATAACCAGAAAATGCCAACTAGAATACCAACAAAATTTGAATGAAATTTATGTCTGAAAATAACCAGAAAATGCAAACTAGAATACCAACAAAATTTGAATGAAATTTATGTCTGAAAGTAACCAGAAAATGCCAACTAGAATAACATTAAAATTTGAATGAAATTTATGTCTGAAAATAACTAGAGAATGCCTACTAGAATACCAACAAACTTTGAATGAAATTTATGTCTGAAAATAACCAGAGAATGCAAACTAGAATACCAACAAAATTTGAATGAAATTTATGTCTGAAAATAACCAGAAAATGCCAACTAGAATAACATTAAAATTTGAATGAAGTTTATGTCTGAAAATAACCAGAGAATGCCACCTAGAATACCAACAAAATTTGAATGAAATTTATGTCTGAAAATAACCAGAGAATGCCAACTAGAATACCAACAAAATTTGAATGAAATTTATGTCTGAAAATAACCAGAGAATGCCAACTAGAATACCAACAAAATTTGAATGAAATTTATGTCTGAAAATAACCAGAGAATGCCAACTAGAGCGTACCAACAAGCCGCAAAGAATCACTCTTCAGAGAGTACCATCTTTGAATTTGAAGGTTGGCCAAAACAAGGTAGAAAATCCAACTCTATGAAAAAAAACTCGAAACTTACAAGAACTTCGACGATATCATTGCTGAAAAAATGAGAGAATTTTTTTAAAAACTCAAATTAAATCGCTCACCGCTTAGTTTTTGCCTGTTGATTGTGATGTAGCTATTAGTTTTTTGTACTTACTCGTATATTCCGGATCTAAATGTACGAAAATTGTTCCTCTGATGTAAGGAGCTCAATGTCTGTCAGATTTTATTTTTTTTTCTGTTTCAATTGAGTCAGCCGAAAATGTGTTTGTTTTGCGAGATTTTGAATTTTTTTTGGTTGCATTACTGTTCTTCGCCAGTATAGGTTGTGTTGATTTCTTTCTCTTTTTCGTTTTCAGGAAAATTCCAAATTGTTCACGCTTAAATTTGATTTCTTGGTGTGACTTTGGTTCTATTCCAAGTTAAGCTCATGTTCATGTGGGAGAAAGTAGGCAAATAACGCTATCCAGTGACGAGTGTAACTGACGCGAAGACATGTGACTGAGATTTACTTTTCGAAAATGGATTTTGTTTCTTAAATTTTCCAGCGGAATAAAAAATAATATAGTTTTGATCCGGTTTCTAAAAAATTATTTATCATAAAAGATTCTTGAAAGTCAGAAAGCTTAATTTTTTCTTCAAACTTGGAAAATCAACCAATCATTGCTTTTCGGTTTCCTTGCGTTAATTTGTTTTCACTTTTACACTGTTGGTTGACTTAGCTTACTATATCAGTCGGTCATATTCATGGGGAAGGTCAGAAAAATTAGATGGAGAGGTTGTAAAGTTGGAAACTTAGCAGTAATATCGGGTGTGACATTTTCAACATAGCTGCTCTAAACCATAGTTTATACACAAGCGAGCTACTGAGCAAATTTGGCATATTACGAATTTAACTTAATTGGCAAAGTTTCGAGGGACCATGGCGTAGATGCTAGCTGATTCCAACTCAGCATAATAGTTTTTAGCTTTTTCTTTTCGCATTTGCTAGAGCAAGTGTCTTATAATCTGGTACTAGGCTGTTTCACGGAAACACCTTTACTTATAAATCTGTGTTTTTTTTTTGCACCTAAAGTCTGGCATTCGAGTCCCGGCGGGATCTCTTAGTCTGTATGTCATTGAAAAAAATTTTCAATCTAGTTTTTTTTTCAGTCTGAATGAAAAAGATTTTTTTTCCGTGAAAAATTTAGTCGTCGTACTTTCATTTGTCAGCTTATAATTTGCCAGCTTAGTTGCCAAATCACACATTTTTTGAGCTGTAAACATTGTTTATTGTAGTTGCAAGTGTTATTGGCTTACTCCTGTTGTTGGTTCACTCCATTTACTAATTCTTAATTAGTATATATTTTTTCAGTAAACAGCTTTATTTGGCCTAAATGGTTTTGGATTGTGTTTTATCGGCTCAGTCAACTTATTTTATGTCACTTGTGGAAGGGCAATAATTTATTGTTGATTTGTATTAAAGTTCATGTTCTAAGTGTTATACAATTTCAAAATTTTGAAACTTAATTGTTTCGAAACTCAAATTTTGATTTTTTGACAAGTATTTCTAATTGCATTTCTTCCGGGGCCTAGGAAATTAGGCGATAAGCAAATTAGACGGATACTACAAAAACGAAATTAGACGGAGTTTATTTTTTTACAGATCTGGCATTTTAGACGAAAAAGCTATGAAAAGGAAAGGGCCAACAAAATTTTTTCTTAAGAGTAAGTTTCACAAATACAAAAAGAACATAAAATGTCAATACCTATCAAAACAATTAGTTTAAATGAACATAAAATGTCAAATCTGAATATTACAGGAGAGTTTTGAATTGAATAAATTATGCATGATTGACTTGTAAAGTTTTTGGCCACCGAAATTGAACTGTTGTCTACTAACAATTTTATTTTTCTAACGCAATTTGTGTGCAAACAAAGTTAATTTCTCTCACTTTCGTCTATTTTCTCACAATTGCAGTTTTGCAAAACCGTCTAATTTCCTTTCAAGTACCTCCGTCTAATTTGCTTATCGTCTAATTTCTCAACCCCCATTTCTTCCTGCTCAATGGAAGTGTACTCGCTGATTGTCGGCTTAGTGTGGCTGCTCAGTAAAAATTAAAACATTGTTTAATATGTTTCTTGACTGTTTACACCGAAGACTTTAGTCAAGGTGTTATGGTATCGTGTAACGGGTTTTTTTTTAATGTTGTCAAGTGTCGACAAATAACGTCCACAGTTATCAATTATCATGTGGGCTGGACTATATCGCGCTATGTCACGTGATTGCGTATGTTTGTTTCTTTATTTGTTCATCTTTATTTATTTAATTATCTGTTCTTCTATTTATTTAATTATGTTTAGTTTGCTTATATTTATTTATAATTTATGTATGTACATATTTATTTTTGTTTATTTTTATCACGTGTTTTGTTTATTTATTTAATTATTCTTTCTTTCTTTCATTCTAGAACTGTTATTTCAGGCTCATTCTCGATATAGCAAAATTTTGGTGTATACATGTATTAGTACGATTTTTTGTTCTAGAACTGTTATTCTTCAATTATTAGTTGTTCAAGTTGTTTGGTTTTTGCTTCGGTTTCTATGCCTTCGGTGTATTGCGCGTAGCGCCTATGTTTTTATGATATAATTTTTTCCAAGTGTAGTTATTTCCGTCTCATTTTTTTTTCGCTAGCTTCGAAGGTGCGCTTGCTTTGTATCGGAAAGCATTCAGAGATCTGCTTTGCCTTTGTGTTTCATACTTTTTATCCTTTTTGAGTTTTTGCCGTTTTCCATCAAGAGATATTAAGAGATAAATATTTACTGAAATGTTTACTCTTGAAATGGTTACTTTTTTTAATAAATAGCAGTCCTATATTCTGAAAGGCGAATAGGGTTCCATTTTTTGCAACCGACGCAAGATGTGCCGATGTGCTAGTCCTTTCTTTGCAACTCGCGACAGAGTTTTTGGTACCAGGATTTTCCTAGCTGATAGAAGCATGAAAAATATTCAACAATGTCGCCAGATTTGAAAATAGTCTTTTTTGGCTCAGTTAAGTTTGGTAAATAATCATACGATAAATGATGAACGAGGAACAATTCCAAAACGTTTTTTTGTACTTAATAGTATTATAGTTGTGTGGAAGATTCGTTATGAATTTTGCCACTCTAAAGTCTTACGATTTCGTCAATCCTTTCTGTCAAATGAAAGAAAAAGTAGTTGTTGAGAAGATCCTTTGGTTTGTCTTGTTTTGGCTAGTCGAATGCAAATAAGTAAATGACTAGATGTAACTAGATATTTGTGTTTCAGGCTGCAGAAAAATTTGACATCTTCATATTCTCGAGACGACAGTGGTAAAGGTCATTCCAGTTCAATATCTTTATCTGATCTTCGGTCTAGTCTAGACAATGATTTGAGAAAGACTGTTTGGAGGTCGAGTGTACTGCAGAGTACGAAGAATATTTTCACTGCTGGAATTCTCAAAACTCTCAAATATTCATATCAAAAACTCACTAAAATGACTAAAAGTTTACTCTGATTTATAATTATTTTAAAACATTTTCTGATGCTGATATGATCTTCGTTTTTGCCAAGTACACGATTCTGCAGGAAATAAAAGAAGGGGTACTTAGAAGGGGTATCCAATCGAAAAAGCATATTCTTTACGATTATGGGGTAACAAAAAGTAAACGCGGTAAACTCTCTCCTTTTTAAATAACTGTCAATAAACGAATTTTTATTCGTATTATTCCTGTGCTTTTTAGAAAGTAGCTTAATGTAGTGGCGAAGCTGAGAAACCAGATAACTTGCAAACATGTTTTTTTTTGCGACACACTTTTTTTCCTCTTGTGTGAGTTGAACTTTTCTCACTAATCAGGATCTAGACTTTTTTCTACTTTTATTTAATTTTTTTTTAAATGTATAAGAAATTGATCATGCTTTATTATGAAACCTCGCTAATTTCCAGGCCCCTTCCCACGTGCTCTTGTGGTAAAGCGCGTGTTTCTAAATCCTACAGTCGGGGGTTCTCTTACAAACTGAATGTTCGGACTTTTGTTTTTCTGCCTATTTTTGTTGGCTTTCTTTTCAAAGCATACGTTCAAATGAAAGTCGAGCTGTTATTTGTTATATTATCAACCTTAGTTTTGTATGGTTGCGATGATTTTTTTTTGCTTCCTTGGTTTCGACTTCTGTTATATCGGCTTAGTCATCTGATATTGCGTCCTTTGAAAACCAAATATAATTGTTCCGACCATTACAAATAGGGAGGAACTTTGTATTCGGGTGTGTTTCAGTTTTTTGTTCTTTTTGTTTTCCACCCAAAATCACGTACCACAAATTTTATTCGGACTGGGTTGAGTGATTTATCACACTGAAGCCCTTACGGTCAGGATTCGAACCACATTAAAACAATTTCACAATGTTGAGAAAACCGGTTTGTAAAGTTTTGATTTTTGTCTTATTTCGAGCGAATAAAGCGAGCGAGCAGTCTTTTTTGTATACTTGAAAGCTTACACTAGCTTAATTTAAAACGTTAAAAAAATTTAGTTTAACTTGGGTAACGTCAGTTTAAATTGAGTATTTTAATGCCTTTTTAGAATGAAAATTTTAAAAATTCGAAAAACTGCAAAAAACTTGTTTTCTTGATTTTGTATTGTTTCTGAGTTCTTATTTAACTCTGGTGTTCGTTTTTCTGCATGATTACCTCAAATTAAATATTATTTGAGATATGATCACAGCTGAGATCTGTGCTCGAAGTTTTGGCTGGTAATTTCCATTGAATTGAAGAGGAATTAAGTTACTGATTTTGGAAGCTGGAAATTGTAGAAAATTGTTTTAAAAAAATGTATGTTTTTTTTTGGTTTTGGCTCCCGTATCCCTCAACAATTTTGTTAGTACAAAATACAGAAGTTAGTTTTGCTACTAACCCTTTTTGTCATGATAAATCAAGGGCTAAATATTTATTCAACCAAGTTGGTGAAAATTTTTTTCTGAAAATTCAGTTTTTTTTTCTGGAAATTTTTCGAACAATGAAATTAGTCTTTCTGACTCAATCGCTTCCTTCTCAATCGTTTCCTACTCAATAGTCTTTTTGATGGAATAAGCTCATGCCCAGATTAAGATTTTGATCGAAGAAAGTTTTGTTTTCGATCTATCCCAATTTCTATAAATTACGTCGTTTTTGCAGAAACAGTTCCACATTTTTTGGAGGTTCTTGACCAGAATTGTTTTTTTTTGGCGCGCTTCCCCCTCTAAATGATTTTATATTGGCACGGAAAGCAGCTACAGAATAATTTAAGGGTTGTTCGACGAGTCCAAAAATTCATAGCGAGAAAAAGTAACCTTTTGATTTTTCTGGTGAACGAAGAACAGTGTGTGAGAAAAGTCGAAAACTGAAAAACCGAAACAAAATTCACAAGCTTTTGAGGCGCTGTGTTAAGTTTGATTTACCAGTGTTTTGATTTTAATTATTTTATGACATTTAATTCAGCTTTTAAATACCGAAATTTATGTCAGTTTGATATTCTTTGTTGACTTGTAATTTCCGATAATTACGGTAAATTTGCATATGAAATGAAACGTTGTAAATCAACCAGCTACCCGAAACCGATCTTACCTCCAAACCGAAACGAGGCAGAAATAGATAGTCGCAAAATAGTACCTAAATCGTTATCCTTTGGGTCAAGGTGTTGAATTGCGAAAAAAAATGTCCGCCCCTGCTCTCCATAAAAAAAAACGATACTGGAAAATCCGGCTAGACTTTTTAGTTTTAATTTAAAAAAACAAAAAGCAAAATTCTTTTTCACAGTTGCTTGTTTCACTCAAAAAGGGTAACTTATTAAAATTGCGAGCAATTTCTTAGTTAAGAGTGGCAATATGAAACATCTTTGTGATGCTGAAATTGAAATTAGGGTCGATGAGTCAGTCAAATAAGTTACACCGTCATTCGTTCAGTTGTGCAGTGCTGATGATTCATTTCGTGTTTTGGATGTCCTCGAAATTTTGTATTCGGAAACAGTGTGTGTATTGTTTAAAGTTTTCACAAAATGTCGGGATCCATTGCTCGAGGTCATACTTGTATTGTGTTCTTTCGTTGGTCAAAATTTGGAGTCGCTGCAAAGTTTTCGAAGTCCAAGTCTGTTTGGCTGTATCTAAACTGTTCAAATCTGTCATTCATCTTGATTGGAGCCGGGCTAAAAATACTTTTTGCTGTCATAAAAGTTTGTGCCACTTTTCTGAATATTAAAATAGATAATACTAAAACGAAAACAATTGCGACAATGATATAACAGCTGGCCAAAATGGCATAAGCCACGAAGTAAACAATCAAGTCGCATCCTTCAATAAAAAGAGAAGGTAGAATTGTGAAATCATTTGTCTTATGTTTGAAAATTACTATTACGTTCCCGTATACAAACCAAGTGGCAAAAAATAGAATAATAATTTTATATATGCAGCTGGCGGCGCTCGGATAATCTTTTTGGAAATCAATTTTAAAGGAATCCAAAACTGTGAAAATGAAAGATAAAATCAGGAAAAATATCCCACCGACAAGAAGAAACTTGGGGACGGAATTTTCCAAAGGACACCTATGGTAAAATATAAGCCCCATAAAAATCATGAAGACACTAAGAAGAATAGCTAAGAAGCAGGTTATATGTTTCGACCATGAAGATTTAGTAAAGCACAATAATAGAACGTCAAAATTGTTCTCTGAGGATTTTTCTTGTATTTCGTCAAATTTGGTTTCTTTTTTGATTTCATTTTCAAGGGCTAAGCGAACAGCGCTTGGGTCTATCTGAAAGTTTTCATACATTACTTTGTTTTTCTGAAAATTAAGGGCATTTTGTGGGAAATTTTCAACATCAGAGAGCGATGAACTTGAATTGGGGCAATTCAGATTTTCAGTTTCGAAGCCCGAATTCTGAATTTTTTGAACCTCGAAAAAATCTTGAGGGTAAAGCGTAGGTGGGCCACTTTTTGATAGACTATAAGAATTTATAGCGTTGGTATCAGGCGTGCTGGGTGAATGATAGCTCATAACGGCAAAAGTAATCAGTTATTTTTCATTTTTCAAAAGTCTTCTAACAAATCTTTGAGGCGGACAGCAATTTAAAAAAAAAGAATTTTCAAAAAAAAAATAGTTTGAAGTAACAAATTGAAGCCCTGAGTGAAAATTCGGATTGCGTTCTTTCTCCTTTCTTGTAAACATTGACAGCTGAAGCGATGTTTTAGCTGCAGTGAACAAGCAAAAGAGTCAACAAAATTAATATTTAGTAAGTGTTTGAGAAAATTATCGACTTTTTGAATGGTTATTCATTTTGAGCGAGCAAGAGCTATTGCATAAAAACAAATAGTTTTTGAATTAATGACAAAAATGCAATGAATTTACTAGAAACACGGTAATTTTAAAGGCGCTTTTCAGAGCTTGTTTGCAAATTTAAGTAAAACGGAATGAAGATAGTTGCTGATCAAAAAATAAATTGATGAAAAAAAATCATGTGAAATCGACGGAACCTAAAAGAGTGTAACTTCGTGCTTTCTAGTAATGAACTCATTGCTATGGCACAATTCTGGTTTCCGAGATCCAGACAATTTTAACTGACATTTGGGTTTAAAATGCAATCAACCGGTTAATGAGTATGTTTCCGGTCTAGGCTAAGGCTATTTTGAGGCCTTCTGGATCAACAGCAAGCCTTACAAAACACATAACTCAAGCAGCGACAACTGTTATGTACGCGCATATTTGACATGGTATTTTGCTTCAACATTTAATTAAGCAACCATGACTTTGAGATAAGTAACTGTCTGCATCCAACTTAAAATAGGGATTTTAGCACTCCAATTTTCACCAATTAAGCTTCAACTTACCAAAAAAATCTGTTTAGAGAAAAATTGACTTCGAATTTTTGCGAGAGGAAATGATCTATTTCTGCTTTGCTAATCTTTTACACTAACTTCTGGGCAAATCAGATGACATTGAATTATCAAGTGAGGTCTAGGTCAACCTTAAATATTTAACCTCCGGTCTAGGTCCCGGGGCTGGCTGACTAAAAAAAAGTTATAACCGTAATTCGGCATTTATTCAAATTAGACCAAAAACTGTTATGTTCGGTCTAATATGAACACTTAAGACTACCCAAAATGCCATTTTTTGATCCCCAACCAGCTTCGTTGAATCATCCAGAGTTTAGAAACAAACTGCCAAACAGGTCCCCTTTTGGAACTTATTTTGAGATATCCATTTTTGGCTGACGGACCTTAAAACTTTTTTAAAGGCACCTTAGGCGCCGATCTATACTGTTTGAGGAAGGAGCGCGCGTCGAAAAAACGCAATTTTTTGGTCAAAATTTTCCAAAAATTGTCTAAAAACGCTTTTTTGGCCTGTTTTCTCAAAATTTTGCCTGCGGCGCAGAAACTTTGGTCAAAACAGGGACTTTTTAGTGTTGTGGGAGAGCTCGGAAAATCCATTTGGTCAGCCTAAAAAAAAACGTTTGCAAGGAAAGTAACTGTTGTGGCAACATCAGGCATCATTATCACGAAAGCGCTAAAAAGATGGAGTGAAAAATTTCTACTTGAAAAAAGATTACTGCCCTATTATAGCCAATTCGCTTGCTTAATTTGCTCGAAGATAGACTAAAAGGTGAAATTAAATTGAACTCATAGGCGTTCATTTAATGCATTAATATGTTTGAATGAGCTTCTGTTAAATTTTAGAGCATTTTGGAAATTTTCCTGAAAAAAACTCAAAAAAATCATCTCGACTTTATTACGTTCATCGACACTTAAAAAATCCTCACAGCAATATTAGTTTTTTTGAATGTAATCCGAAGTAAGTGTGCAAGTATGTTGCAAAGTAGCTCATATTTGAAAAAGGATTGCTCTAAATATAGTTCAAAAAATGCAAACATTTGATATGCGTCGAGTAGTGGACAGTTTAAAATTGCAGGAGGCTACTGGTGCATTGTTTTCAGTTTCAGATCCAGGCTTTTATGGGTATACTCTCCTAAATGAATGAAAAAAATGAAAAATTGAATAATGAACAAAGTTGGACTGGTTTTAATAAGAAATGCTAGACTTATATCCCGAGGTTTGAGTTAACAAAAAATATACACAAGATGCGCATTAAGCGTTAATTAAAAACGACTTCGGGTTCATTTTTTTGAAAAAAATTTTATGGAAAAACGGCAAAAACCTTAAGTTAAAAGCCAGTTGATGCCTAATTAAGTGAACTGCACTGAGTGTTTTGTACTGCTTAATTGGGCGAACTAATCAGCCAGCCGTATATTGCTATTCTGCAAATTTTGTATATATAGATCCAATTTTATTGTAAATTTTTATTACTATTTTAAATTTTTTTTGGTTAAAATTTCAAGCTACGTTGTATGTATTATCTACCGACCAATAGAGGAACTTAAATTATAGTGCATAAATCTCGTGCCAATGTAGCCAAAACTGAGCATAGAAGTTACACTGTGATTTTGTGTGCATTAAGTCATATTATCATACAGTCCCCAAAGCAATAAGTTGAATCGACTGACAGAAGTTTTAACTTCTGGGCTAACAAACATAATTTTTTTTATTATACCAACTAAAAACTGGAGAAAGAAAGTAACTCAAACGAAGATTCTTCAGGATTTTTTAAGTTTATCTAATGAAATTTTTAAAACAACAAGTTTGATCATATTTGAAACTACTCGGCCACATAAAAGTTAAAATAAATTAAATGAAAATTTTCTCGATGAAAACTTCAGATGGGAGAAATGTGGCTTTTCAACCAGCTTCTAACAATAAATCCGTAAAATGCTTAATTGGATTTTGATAATAGGGTTGTCTAGGGTCAGTTTTGAGCGTAGAAACTTCAAAAAAACTTACAAAAGTGAAGCATTATCGTCGAATCAAATGTTTTCAAAAGTAAAAACGTTTTAGATTTTATATCACCTTTTTGGACTATGAAACTTTTAAATGGGATGGATATTTGTATCAGTTAAAGCTTAAAAAAAGCTACCACTGGAAAAAAAAAGAAAAAAATTGTTTTGTGAAGTCCACTAGTTGCGTTACTTTTTTAAATCTCCAGTATATCCAAATTAATTATCGATTCAGTTTTTTCGATGTTCAAATAAGAATGGAGGACTTGGAAGTTCAGCGAGCGAGTCTGGAATTGCGTTATGAATACATGTCCAGGATGAGACTTGGGTCTCTGGAGGAACTGCAGGGGTTACGGAGGTCCGAATACGACCGGGGACCCCTGCCGGAGGGATGGTCTGAATCTGTGGACTATAAAGGGCGGACGGGATGAATTATCCCATCTCAATTTAATGGACAAAAGGACTTATTGTTAAGTTTGGATACAATGAAAAAAAATCAGGAAGCGCCCCCTCTAAAGTTTAGGCCACAAAGTCCATTTATAATGAAAAATGGCACACCGCACAATGAGGTTATATACTGGAGAAAAAAAAGTTTTTTTTTGCTCGGCTTAGAAAAATTAGCAAAAACTGCTATCAACTTTTCAATTAAAGCTTGGGAAAATGAGCTTATTTTAGTTGTTCTTTAAATTTCTCAATTTTTTTCTCACTTTATTTGATAAAAACTAGGTATATCACTATCTAGGGGCAAAATTTAACATAGTATTTACTAGTTTTTTTGTCTCTTCAAAAGTTTCCTCTCATTTTTTGTTTTTAATTTCTCTAGTTGCGTTTTTTTCTCCAGTATACTAAAATGTTTAGCCTTCATATCTAATCTTATAAAGTACTCGTTACGCCATGAAAGTTGTGATGATTCTGTGGGTGGGCGATGGACGCAAAATTAGTCCCGAGGTGATGTTAGTTTAGTTTTCAACTGTTAGTTCTTAAAAATTTAGCACCGTTAGCACCGTTCATTTTCAGTCCCTACCAAGTAATACCTTAGTAATTTAAAACCGCTACAATTTACGGACATAAGGTCATTTATTTGACTTTCAACAAAAATTAAAAAAAAAAGACTTCAAAGAGGACATTGGTAACCATCAAAGATTAAAGCGATAAAAATGTTTCCATCTAAAGCCAGACATATTTGCGCTGCTCAATGTGTTTAAATGATGAACAGAGATTACTGTGTCAATAATTCTAGAAATTAAAATGGTTCGAACCCAAAACGAGCCACTTTTCAATGAATTTCAACATCTTCCCGAGTAATAAAGTGTTCTCCAACTAAAATATTGACAAAACCGCCATTTTTTAAACGTCAAAAATTAAAAGAACAAAACTTATATAAAAATAATGTTGTCGAAAAGCTGAAAAGTTGAGTAAATTAGTGTCATGCTCGTATTTAAACCAATCTCTTTTTTCAGCGTTTCTGAATGTTTGTAGAGAAAAACAAAACTCAAAAGGTTCAGCACTATTGACATGGAAATGATATGGCAGTATTGCGTTTGGTACAATTTTTGTGAAGATACGCGCATTCTGCAAGAGGACGTTTTTTTTTCAAAAAATCTGGCAAAAACTGGAGCAAGAGTAATTTTTTTTTTTAAAAGAGAAGTGAAGTATACAAGATAGATCTAGACAACATATATACTGGTTTAGCACAAATTATTTAACGCTCTGAAAATCTTAGATCAGTTTGGTGGTTTTTGAGTAAAAGTGAACAATTTTGAAACGCATAATTTTTTCTTTTTTTCGTGATTTTTTGATATATAAAAGAGCCGAAGTAGAGACACAGCTTGTCCTTTTATAGTTTTTTTTTGTTCCAAGCATTTACTGTTGCATATTTTTGAGTTCTTTGAATGATCACATCATAGGATTTCGAATATTTTCTTCTTTCACAAAATCTACAAAAGGCAGATGTTAAAAGTATTTTTTTAGGTTAATTTATGGCCAGTTTTTTAAAATTAAATGTGTGAAAGGTGGAAAAATAAACCTGATGAATGTGCCCGGAGGTTTTTTTTCTGAAAGTTTGAATGTTCGGCCCAACGGATGTCCTCCTGTTTTTGTCGGCCTACCTTCCATGGCATGAGTTTTTCTCCAAATTATTATTTTTTCCGATAAAAGCAATTTTTATCACAATTGATAGTTGCTCTGTAATTTAAAGTTTACTAGCTCTGATTTTGTCTAATCACTTCATTGTTTTTGCTTAAATGGGTTCGGTGTATGCTCTATCGACTTATTTACCTCAATTTACGGAGCTTTTTCTTAAAAAATATTGTAATGCTTTTGTTTAATTCAAGAGGATTGGGAAGTAGAAACTTCTGAATGTCAAAGTTTTTTAACAGCATTTTTTATGAAAGTTGCTTGCAATGTTTTCCTGAAATTAAGCATAATTTGAAACAAATGAGTGAATTTTTTGTAGGCATAGTTTATTCAAGTTTTTTCAATTTTTTCAAACTCTGTGGCTTCGGTCTCAATATTTATCCACTAGCTCACAATGCTATGGTTGTGTTGCATCTCAAGTACTCCGAAACTCTGCTTTGCCCCTGTGTGTAAAATTGAATTGAAGAAATGATTTTTATTAAAAGTAGTTAATTTTTTGTCGATGTAAAACAAGACGTAACAATTGGATTGAGATGAGATTGATCCGATCATAGACAGGCCGTTCTTCGTAAATCACATGGATCATACCACCAGTTGGGAAGACCCAAGGATGTCGGGGGGCAAACCGCTCCCCCCTGGTTGGAGACTCAGAGTGTGTTCAATAGGGGCATACTTTGCCCATGAGAAGTCACAGGTCACGACCTTCTATGACCCCAGAACCGGAATATCTACAGGCAAAATTATATATAATTCAAGCTAACAAATTAGATATAATTGATACAATGATTAAGCTGCACTTACGCGTGGTAGGACCGTCTTGGGGTGCATAACTGTTCTATATCTATGCAGTAGCAGTGGGGTGCGGTAGTAAAATGATAGGTTAAAATTTTCACCTCTCAGTCGGAAGGTCGGTGGTTCGAGGCTCAGCTTGATTTTTATCGCGCTAAGTGTTAGAATAGTGTATGTCAGCTTGAATACTTTCAATCTTACCATTTGGCCATTGCAGTGACTGGCGACAAAGAGATGCCTCACTTGCGACATCTGAAGAACTTCAGCTGGAAACTGTACGAGTTCCAGTGCATGTGCTACCAGGTGAACTCATTGCCAGTTATATCAAAAGCAATCTACCTCAAAAAAGTTTTTATAAAGTATAGCTACTCGTTACAGCCTATCATATAAAAACAAAAGGATCTCTTTTACTAGTTCCCTCTTTTTGGGTAAGTGGGGGGGGGGTTGAGGATTGTTTAGGAATGGAGTCTATATTTAGTCTAATTGAGACTATAATGGCAAAGGGCACATTAAAAACTTCCATTTTTTTTGTCATGCATAAAGAGTTTTTTTTATGCCAGATGGGCTTAATTCAGTATCCGAAATTTTGGACTGTTTTGGACTGTTTAAACAGTTTTGGTTGGTCGAAAATTCTTCCCGTTCTTGAAACTGCCTTTTCTTCAGTGATTCAACATTCTCGCTACTCCTTTGGTAATACTTTACGACATATCTATTCTTTGCTGACCGACCCTATAAATGTTAAAAAGCTACAATATATATATACTAATTTTGAGTTGGGACCGCGCGATTAAAAACGAGATTTTTGGTCAAAGTGTTCCAAAAAGTGAACAACAAAGCGTTTTTTTGACTGTTTTTATTTCAAGATTTTGCCTGTAGCGAAGATAATTATTGCTAAATAGATATATTATAGTGTTTTGAAAGAACTCAGAAAATCAATTTTGCTGAGTAAAAAATGGTCAACAAATTATTTGAAAGACCCCCACCCCCTCGAGAAAATCCTAGATTTGCCCTGAGAATAGCCTCCGTAGTGTATTACTAGAACTGCGCAGTTGGCAAATTGGAGTTGAAGTTGGGAAGACAGAGTGTGTTTGATGACTCATTCGACCAGCTGATGAAGAAGGAGAGAAGTGAGCTGAGGAAGGGGCTGAAGGTGTTTTTTGAGGACGAGGAGGCGAGTAGACTATTATGAGTCATCTATCAAACACTATTCAATCATACAATAATTATGAAGCTTTTTCTGATTTCTATTTTATTAATTTTTCGAGCTTGGTAATTAAAAAGATATTAATTTTGAATAGACTTGGGCTTTCAGCATAACATGATCTCAAAAACCATCTGTTTACCACATCGCTTAAACAAAATTTGAACTTTCTCTTGTTTTTCTTTTTTTATGTTTTAACTGGGGGGGGGGGGTTATTTTTTGTTCCAAATTAGTAGTTTGTATGGCAGTTTGTATGGTTAATGTAATGACGATGAGGCAAGAGACTACGGCGGACTGTCACGTGAGTGGTTCCTCCTTCTGTCACGTGACCTACTCAACCCCCTGTACTGTCTATTCGAGTATGCCAACACACAGACATACCTGCTCAGAATTAGCCCCCTGTCCTACATGAACCCACTTCATTTGAGGTGTTTTAAGTTCGTCGGGAGGGTCGTTGGCTTGGCCCTGTTCAACTACAAATTCATAGACTGCAGTTTCACGATGCCGTTCTACAAAAGGGGTCTTTTCGGTCCACAACTGAATTCTTTTATTGGTTGGTTGTTACTAAGTTCTCAGGTTCTATGATATACAATCATATCCACTCAACGGATAAATATGTCTGATTTTAATTGAGGAAATCAGCATCATCATTCGCTGAAAGCCCTCGAACTCTCAATAAAATATACTTCTCGTTCTAAAAAAAATTCCACAAAAAAGTTTCTCAAACCAAGATTCCTAATTTATTAAGCTGTTAACCAGAACAACATGAAGCAGAAAAAAAGTAACAAATTTGATTAAACCATAATTGCTGCGATAAACTTAGCTAATAGCGATATCAAGAAAAGCCAAAAAGATTCTAATAGGATTCTCAAGCGACCTTTGACCCTGCATGACCTCGAGTCAGTTGACCCCGAATTCTACAATTCAGTTCTTTTCATCAGTGAGATGGATTTGGACGAGCTGGAAGACATGCACTTGCACTTTGTTCACTCTTTCTCAGAGTTCGGTCAAGTTCATGAAGTGGAATTGAAGGACGGGGGAGCAGGGCTCTTTTCCAGCTAACCAGCCGCTGTTTTGAGCTTTACACCCCCCCCCCCCATTCCTCCTCCCGGCATTAACCAAACATCTATTTAAAGGCAAAACCACCACTATTTTTGCAATGTTTGCGTATGAAGACTAAATAAACGTTCCATTATATTTTTTCCCAGTCTATAATCAAAAAATTAAACAACCTCAAGAAAACTCTGATTTTTTTAAGGTTTTTTGGACTGAGAGCTTACTTAGAAAGGGGTAATGTAGTTTTTATTGACAAAAAACCGTGATTTTTATAAGCAAGTCATAACTACTGAGAAGAAAAATAGGACGCTTCAAAATTATTATTAAAGCTGTGATAAATTGCCGTTTTGTGAGGGGTCGGAAGCTGGAAACTAGCCTTCACTTAGTAGAAATCGAGGTCACCGAAATTAACAAGGATGAATACATTCAGCTGTTGGTTGAAGCTAGAGTTAACAGAGGCGTGACGGCTCAGGCTGCTGCTTTCCTAACAGGTCGTGAAAATTTGGATGATTTTCACCCAAAAGTAGCCAAAATTATTGTCATTTATATTGGGAGCTCTGGCATTTGACAGTAGAATCCGCCCTAGAAAAAATCACCAGCTTACGTTTTTGTGAACTTTGTGACGGAATCAGATTTATAAGTCGAACTGCTTAAACCGTTAAATGACAAACTTTTCCCGTTCAATAATCATTATGTAGGTCCCCCTTCAAATGGCTGGACCAGAAGACAAAATTTAGTGATCTCAAGTCTTGGTCAAATCTAGCAAATTCAAGTGATCCAAAAATTTCTTTGATGGTTGGTTGCTCCCTGTGTTTTTCAAAAATATTAAAAACTCTTCTAAAAACTCAGTTTTAAGATTCTTGTAAAAACTCTTGTGTAATTTCTTTAGGCTGTTTTTTTTTCAAAATCATGGGCCAATTCTGTAATTTTCTACGTTTATTTGCCCTCAAGCAAAAATTTATATTATGCGCTAGAATTGAAATTTATGTCCAGGATTGTAACTTCAGGCCACTCCACTCTTTTCATCTCAGATAACAAAAAATATTCACATTAAAGGGTAAACAGCGATAAACACGTATTTTTAAATAATGGCCGGCAGTGACAAAAATGGATAAAAATCGATTATATACAGAAAAATCTACAGATTAACGTAAGTAATGAATCGCTCATTTCTACATACGATTCGAGCATAATATTTAGAAAAGCGATAGTGTAAAATTTCGAGCATAAAAATACGCTCGAACCGTTTAAGCCTTGTTCCAAAAATCTAGAATGGAGTGTAATGATTTGCAGGATTCGAGGAGGTTATTTCGTTGGGATGGCTGAAGTATTTCGACGAGCGGGAACTGGAGGTGATGCTGTGTGGGGTGCAGGAAATAGACTTAGAGGACTGGAGAGAGAACACGGAGTACAGGACATACGAGCCCACAGGCAAAACCTCGCTCAATAGCCACCTACATAATCTCTCTTTTCACAATTGTTTGTTCATAACATTTTTCTTTTTTCCTTTTTTTCTTTTTGACTTTTGATGGTTTTCTCTTTTTTCCCCAGATTTTGCTAAAACCGATCATAGGTCGGGTCTTAGTAGAGTGAAAGTTTTTGTAAGAATTTTGTAAGAACTATCGTAAGTAATTGTACAGATTGTGTAAGAATCAAATAAGGTATAATATTTGGTGCGAAATCTTGTCATACAAATTTTCATGTATTGTATGACAAGCATTTTTTCCATAGTCGCCATATATGAAATTGTATGATAAGCATTTTTTTATGGACGTCAATTCGGGTACTTTGGTTCTAAAAAATTGAATGAAAAGAAAAAACATTTATAAATATTGTGAATGATTTTTTTTGCTGATAAAGGATTTCAAAAAAAACTTCACGATTTACCAAAACGCAAAATTTTTGCTGCGGAAAAATTGTCCAAAACTGAGTGTATCAGTTTTTTGCTGATTGGTTCTATAAAATTGCATTTAAAATATTGATCTTGAATTATTTTCCTTCTAAATTTTCATTTTTTGTTTTCACCGCCACGTGAATATGAGGATTGCAAAATCTTAGAGGGATGCCAGTTAAATTAATTGTATGCGGTAAAAAACTCTCCTTGATTGCCTATAGATCTCTGTAGAGCTGACGGAGACTCTTCGTGACACACAATTTTGGTCACAATGTTGCTTGTGGCCACATAAATTATTTTTGCAGCCCTCAGAACCGATCGAAATTAATTTCGGTGAGATTGGGATGAATTTTATCTCTAATAATCTGAAATTTTTTGTTCACAAAAATGCATGCTATGTTGATTTCAATCAATTTGAAGTTCACTTCAGTTCCTAATGTGTTCACGCCTATTCGATTTGGAAAGATAAACATTAATGTTATATTGGTTTAAATCAAATCAAAGTCATTTTGTCAATGCGGGTTACTTAGAAAAATCTCATATCAGAGACTGCTAAAAAAATATATAAGGATTGCAGTAGAATTTAAAGCTCTAGTTTACTTAACATTTTTCTGCTCAGATTTTAAATTGGGTGGATACGGCAAAAAGTTTGAAAAAAAATTCTATAAAAAAACACAGAGTTTTTTTTTCTACCACTGATCCTTACTGAATTAATCTCATCCTTACTGAATATCGATACAGACAAAAATTGCCAGTTCAGATAATAGAGCTCAAAACACACAAATTTTACAACCTCTGTAAATTTTCTACAAGGTTGAGAGAAAAACAAAACAGAATATTCTTACAAAAAAATTGAAAGATTTTGATTCCTTCTGAACTGCTCTACGGAATGTAAAATGTTTTAAAAATCTTACCAGATTCTCCCCAAACATTGCAATCCGAACCGCAGTACAGAGTAACTCGAAATGAGTTAAGCTGCCTGTAAGATTCATAAGAGTTTTTGTTTTTTTATATTTTCATTTCTTGATTGTCCGATGCAAGAGTTTTGTGAAATTTAGATTTCGTTCTTATAAGATATAATTCTTTTATAAAACTTTAAATTGCTCCATAACTTGGTTTCAAGAGTTTGAAGATGGTAATCATAGGTACTTGACATAATTTTCCGCTCAAATACGTTTGAAAAGATCTCGTGACCATGACTTAAGTTAATGTTCTAATACGTTCGAATGCGGTTTTTGCAAGATAAATAAATGTTGCAACCCAAATGCAAGCTAGAGTATAAATGCATATAGAACTAAACAAGGAAGGATAGCCAAGCGGACTTTTCTAAAAGTACCAAAACTAAGTTAATCATTCTAGCGTAGGTTCGAGTCCACCACGGGGCAAGGTATTAACCTACTAAAAAAAGAGCTCTAATCCTATTTGACCATTTTTTTAACTGTTTTTTGGTTCTAATTCGGGGCTTTTTTCCAGTCCCCTTTTTAAAAAATGAAAACTTTAAATTGGCGAATTAAGAGTACTGATGTCATCCTTTATTTCATCAAACAATTCTTTTTTGTCTGCTTTTTTGGTTTTTCGCCACATAAATTCACAGAGATATGAATCTTATAAAGTTCTTTTAGTTTCCCAGCGCTTTTTGTTTCCAAGTTTTGCTATGTTCCACATCCCTTCGACTCGGTTTGTCTAAGGACTTGTTGTTGGACCCACAAAATGTTCAAAGTGTTTCACAATTTGATGCTCAAAACCACTTTTTTCTATATCATTGTAGGATTTCCACTCATCCGCATTAAGTTTGCTGCCTGCAACAATCCTACTTTTTATGATAAGCATTAGCAAATCTTTTGTCCGATTCTCTACCGCATACAAGAAACAATCTCCAGTTTTCCTGCAGATACCTCCAAACACCCATTGTTCTCTAATCGCTCTGCCCCAGAGTACTTTCTTTTTACAAAACAACTCTCATCAATTTCGATGGTTTTGCCTTTCCACCAAATTTTTTTGGATTCTCAAGTAAAAACTTGGCACAAACTTCTGGAACAAAACAACAAAATATTCCAATATGGCCAATTCCGAAGTCCTTTTCTCAAAATTTGATCGAAGTATATTTTTCGGACCAGCAGTAAAAGAAAAGTTTAACCTGTTGATAGCTGAGATGGGTGCCTTCTAGCCAAGTTCCTTCTTTCAATTGTTTTTGTTTTGTGCAAATTATACAGCTCGATAAAAATTTTTCTTCAAATTTTTTCAGGCATTTTTGGTAATTTCGATATAATATTACGCGTTTCCGGTGTAGGGTTTGAATGAATTTTTTTGTTAGTTCGCCAATTATGTATTGTTGGAATTGTATCAATTTAAAACTTGGTGCAAAAATTAATGACAAAAAAATCAGCAACTTAAAGGGGTGAACTGGAAAAGAGTCTAATTCGGTTCAGCCTTGATTAAGGCTGACAGTCAAAAAGAGCAATTTGTCTCAAGGACAATCACCGGTTGTTTTGGCTAGTTTGCGCCAATTTATCATACAACAATTTATACCGAAACAAGTTGATATTGTGATCTCAATTTTTCAAACCATTTGAGATGCTCATCTATTCTTGTTGTGAGTGTTTACCAAAAAAAATACACATATTAGTTTGTTTTATAGAATTGAGCGCAATAGTTTTAAACAATTTTTTTATAGAATTTATTTTTTTCAGATTGAGTGCAAAATAAAAACATATCAGCCAGGAAACAAATTATGATTGTTATTACTGTAAAAAGTTATTTATTATTTCCAAATATTTAAATTCAAATGGGGTTACAGAGTTTGGAAAATTTTGATGTTGCTGCGATTTCCGGCTTTCCGATAGAATGTTATCCGGCTCAAAAACTTGCTCCAGGTTTTTGTCTTTCTGCTTTCTGATCATTTCATCAAATTCATAGGCTGCACGACACCAAAATTTTCTTCTCAATCCTTGGATCAATTTACAGGAACTCTTCTATAGGCCGAAAAGATAATTGGCAAAAAAAGTATATAGGCCGAAAAGATAATTGGCAAAAAAAGTATATAGGCCGAAAAGATAATTGGCAAAAAAATTGGTGGTAAAAGTAGTTTTTAAGATTTGCGCGTTTTCCATGAAAACTTGATTTTTTTAATAGGCCGGAGTGGTATCTATTAATGGGCAAAAAGCTGAAAATTGGGAAGTTTTCAGTCATTTCATTTTAAGTTTTCAGCGGCGTTTTATTCATCTTTTTGACGGGTTGTTGTCCGCTGATTCCAACTCATCAATTGTTAGATATTCGGGCCCAACCTTCACCCGGATAATCACTAATGTTGGTTTGTTTGTATTGAATAAAAAGGTAGTGAAAAGAGAGATGGAAATTAAGCGCAGACAAACAGATCATCTGGTTTTGGGACTTCGTCTATGAGATGAACAATGACGAGCGAATTCGTCTTCTCCAGTTTGTCACAGGTGTGGCACATTCAAGAGAAAATGAAATTGTTCAGATAATTTCGATGCTAACTGCATTTTGAGATTGATCCAAACATATTTTTTTGTCCATAATTTATCAAAAACTGGGTCTAAGAATGACATATATTCTCAATTATCTGCAATATAAGCACAACTTTTCTGCCATATAGCCAGATCTTATAATGGCGATGGCCGAAAAAATATTTAGACCTGGTTATACCTTCCCTTGATTGCAAAAAAGGAAATTTGATATCAGGTTGAATGAGTCTTTGTAAGTGCTTGACGGAAGGGTATTGGGGAGAATATTTGCCACACGATACCATATACGGGAAATACAGGGAACTTTAACAAGATTCAAAAAATTCTAAATTTTGGTATTTATGGTTTCAATTTAGACTGAGCACATCAATTTCATAAAACACTATTCCCCTTTTTTTTTGCATGGTAATATAATTTTTTCAGCTTGAACTTGGTTCACGTTTTGTGTCTAGGAACTTGTCGTATTCCACTCGGGGGATTCAAAGACTTAATGGGAAACACATTTCCTCACAAGTTCTGCATTGAGAGGATGGGGGATAACCAGAACAGTCTGCCCAAATCACACACATGTTTCAATAGGTGAAAAATTTGATTTTCCCCTCCATTAGTTTTTCTTTCACCAATTTCGAGGAAATGGAACCAGTGTGGTTGTTAATAAATTTCAACAGTAGCTCATAAAATGTACTAAGCATAACTAATAAATAAATAAGCAAAAGTTAATAAAAATTAGGTGAGAGGGAAAGGAGGCAGATAATTCTATATGGGGATAAAGCTATGGTAATTTAAACATTCTCCCTCCCCCCCCCCCCCCCCCTAAACGCGATATAATGAGACGGATTGCCCAATTCATCCAAAATTTCTTGCAAATGTGTTTAAACAGGTTTAATAGATATAAATTGCTTTTTAACAGACTAGATTTGCCAGCTTACGAGAGCTATGAACTGCTGAAGATGAAGCTTCTCTTTGCGGTCGAAGAAACGGAAGGATTCGGAATGGAATGAAATTCATATACGTGAACAAAATGACAACAAATCCAATTCATGCTTTTATTTTGTTTTTTTTTTCTGCAAAAAATTACATAATAAATTAAACAAGACTGCTCGTATCAGGACGAAGCCCTGAATGTTCCGACTGCCTTTTAAGGCTTTTTGGAGCAGTAATAACATCAAAAAATTAAATGTAGTGAAATAAAATGAAAAAGTTTTTTTCTAAAATTTGAAATTTTTTATGAAAATCATCCCGCCACAGGCCATACAAAGTACAAAAAGATAGATTTAGCTCCTTGTAACAAATCAATCATGGCAAATAAGCTTCTTTCAACCAATTTGGAACGATTTTAAGACGGATTAAATCTCCGCTTACGCGTTATAGCGCGAAATATATCAATGGCAATCTTTAAACCCCCACAGCTTTACGAAAAATGATCACAGGTGAAATATCTTTTCAAATTTGAGCTCAAGACAACAATAGCTTTCGAATGATATAAAAAAATTCCGTCAAAAATGGCTAGTCAAAAAGTCGAAATTTGTCTGAAGAAAAAAAAACCCACCCCGAGCACAAATATTCCGTTACTTTCGTATCGAAAGTCGGAACAATAATCACGAGTCTTTAACAGTTTAAAAGCCAAATGTCATCACCTGCTTTTTTTCTGATCTTTTTTTCTGAGCATTAATAGTATTTATGTAGAAATGGAGATAAGGACTATAAAGGTTGTCCAAAACACTTTTTGTTTTGGCTCTTTTTCCTTTGGGGTAAGGAAAAAGAACCTTTGTTTTGTTTAACTCACCTTGTAAGACTATACTCTTTACATCAGAAAAATGATGCTGAAAATAGGAAGTCGGGAAAAACCCGGTCATCGATTAGGACCTGCATCGTCGCAAATAACAGTAGAACAGGTAGTGATAAACAAAGGCTAGCCGGTTTTTGTGTTAGTACCTCCGAAAACTCCGACTGCAATAATAAAATTAACAGCTTAAAACATTTTTTGAATTTTTGGCCAAAAAGAGGATAAAAGAAGCTTTGAAAACTATTTTTATACTGGAGTAGAACTTAATTTTGCCATATTTCAAAGCTGCTCGCTCGCTTCATTTGCTCAAAAACAGACTGACATTAAAAAAACTTTGACACAAAAAAACTTTTTGGATTTTTAATGCTAGAATCACGACTAAAAGCTTATCAATACGTATCACTCTACTTAAACAGATGACTGTATGTGGTAAATGATTTTGTATGAAAGAAAACTAAAACAAACCCGAAGAGAAAACTCCTCCCCAATTAAGTGGTTGAACCACTGAGCTATTCAACGGGAGTTCTCAATTTTTAGACGAAAAGCTGCCCAACAGGTTAATTTCACTGCAACGAGAGCTGGAATTTACTTAACACGAAAAAATATATATTATAAAAAACGACATACTTTGCTAGTTTGTCTTTTTGTTGATGAAAGTGTGGTAAAAACGATGAAAAAATTAGAGCCGTACTAATTTATTCAGTTCCAGCCATGCAACGCACTCAGAGATAAAAACCAACAAATTTTGTTATATGTTTCAGTTATCATTTTCAGTTAGTATAAATGTTTCGTATTAGGACACCATTTTTAGGCATTTTTTGGAAGGTCCACTATTTACTATAAAAATAGTATTGTTAGCGCCAAATGCGTCCTTTGAAAAATTTTAACCAGTCAGCAGAAAAATGATGCTGCAAAAATAGTGCCAAATGGGGGACCTTTGGGTGGTCAGGGGGTCGAATTCAGGAGGATTCGTTGTCGAGTCCATTAAATTCACTGCTGCACTGAGAAAAAAAAATGTTTACTGTTTCAATGTGTAGTGGACAAGCAACAGCTATTACATCAAGAACATTGTGAATAAATCGAGACGCGCAATGATAAGATGTTTACAATGTTCGAGATGAAATGTAAGCTCTTGCTTAATTGGTAGGGAAACACATGTAAAAAAAAGCGAACAAAACACACTCATTTGAAATTTTTTTAAACATAACACGCAACTTTTTCTTCTTTATTACTCCGACTTTCAATACGAAAGTAACGGAATATTTGTGCTCGGGGTGGGGTTTTTTCTTTACTCAAGTTTCGACTTTTTAACTAGCCATTTTTGACGGAATTTTTTTTTGTAACATTCGAAACCTATTGTTGTCCTGAGCTCAAATTTCACAAGATATTTTACCTGTGATCTTTTTTCGTAAAGTTACGGGGGTTTAAAGATTGCCATTTCAGCCAATTTGGGACAACTAACGCGAGATATAATTCGCGCTATTAACGCGTAAGCGGCGGAGAGTTAATGCGTCTTGAGACATCGTTCCAAATTGGTTGAAAGTTTTTCAAATATGGCTCGGAAACATATAGAACACGTGTGTTTTGTGTTTAAAAGATGTAGAAGTATGCACATGCAACATCGTGTTAACTCCGTATATCAAAGTTGAAGATTAACTTATTAAATTCAACAAAACTGCTCGTATCAGGGTGAAGTCTTGAATGTTCCGACTGAATTTTGATGTCTATGGAGCAGTAATAACATGAAAAAACTAATTGTAATAAAAATTGATTTTTTTTTTAATTTTAGATTTTTTGGCGAAAAAAAGCAAACTTGAACCCACACAACTTTACAAAAGTGATCCCAGGTGAAATATCGTTTCAAATTTAAGCTCAGGACATCAAAACCTCTCGAATGATATGAAAAATTCCGTCAAAATGGCTAGTTTAAAAGTCAAAATTTGTCTAACGAAATAAAACCCACCCCGAGCGCAAATATTCCGTTGACTTCGTTACGAAAGTCGGAGCATTAAGTTTTCAGCAGCTTATGAATACATCTTTAAACGTAGCACACGGCCAATATTAAAATTGACGATCTTGATGTACGTGAGTACAAAACATAACAAGACTGCTCGTATCAGGGCGAAGCCCTGAATGTTTCGACTGACTTTCAAGGTTTATGGAGCAGTAGTATCATAAGAAAATTAATTGTAATAAAATAAAAATATTTTTTTTCCTAACATTTGAATTTTTTTGACGAAATATTCCCACCACACGCCATATAAAGTACAAAAGAGTAGATTTGGCAAGTTTGTATCGAAAGTGGGTACAACAAGACTGCTCGTATATCAGGGCAGCGCCACGAATGCTCAGACTGAACCTATTTTTGGCTCTTTTTCGTTTCCCCCCACCTCACATAAGCATCGGTTTTATGGTGTAACGCGTAGTTTTACAAGGTTTATTATGAAGACCAAAAATGTTTGTCATGTCCTAATCAGTCCGTATGCCAAGTTTTGTAACAATCCGACAATTTGAACAGAAAAATGACTAAAAATTTTGCAGGTGGGGGAAAAGGAAAAAGAGCCCTGAGTTTGTATCATATAGTTTTTGAGAAAAGAAAATATTGAAAACCTACTTTTTGGACAATATCAAAGTGTAAAATTTTGAGTCATGCGAAATTAATACGACCAATTAGCTAGCCTCAACTCACTTGGAACTATTTTGTTGAGCGGGATAATTCACCACGCATAAATAATTCGCATTAGACTCTTAACATTATGAAGAATATCTTCAAAGTGTGCATAATTTAGTACAGAAAATGACCAATTTGGCAATGTTTAAACCCCCAAAGCTTTACAAAAAAAATACTTTCTAAATTTGAACTCAGGAAGTTGATATCTTCAATGGTGTATAAAAATGTTTGCTGAAAACTGTTAGTTCGATCGGCGAAAATTGACTAAACAAAAAAAACACCGAGCATAAATATTCCGTTTTCTTCGAAAATCGGAACAATGATCGTAATATTAGTATACAGGTAATAACACCAATAGTCTTAACCACACTGGCTTTTCAACAATCCAATACTAAAACTTTAAAATAATTAAAGATTTGATCAATTCACTGCTCTATATCCTAGAGCTGTTAACACTGCCCACGGATTGCATTTTGTGGTCTTAGAAAAGACATTGATTGACTTAACGCTAAAATTTGATTGTGAGTTCTTGGCTTAACACTGAAGTCTTTCCCTCCTCAAATTAGATTATTCAAATCTTCAAGAATTTTTTTACTACACTGTCATGCTATTTGCTGATACTTCAACGTCAGAGTCAGTGGCGTCTGCCCAGGAGAATTGGCCAGTCACATCTTTATATATCAGGTCCGCATAACTTTCAATGTTCCCGAGGCTTCCCCTACCAGTGATGCGTCGCGTTGAAATAACTCAAAATCCCATAATTCAAAATCGGAGTATTTATTACGTTTTATAGGTCTCGGAAAATTTTTCTCTGTTTAACCACCTTTTCCTCCATTAGCGTCCCTATGGGGACCGTTCACAAAATACGGGTTTGTTTGAGATGCGGGTGTCGGCAGCTTGTTTTTTTAGGCATCAAAATTATCCTAAAATATTTGATTTTATCGGCTAGTTCATAGTTAAGTTGTTATCCCAGGAGGTCTCCGGTCTTTTAATTGTCAAGTATTGTGCGCTGATTGGCATATTCAAGGCGTTTGTACCAATTGACTTGTGCTCGGGGCCATCAATTGCGTTTGTTGTGGGGAAGACTACTCTTCAGGCCACAAAACGTTTAGTTTCTCAATAATGTCGTTCTGTATAACCTTCAAGCTATAGGCGACTCCCTTTTCCGAACTTGATGTTGACGGGACAATCTCCTCCGCCCTGGGTTTCACTTCCAGGAGTCGGTGCGATTAGAAAGCGCTGTAAGGTTGTAACAGCCGGCTGATTCGCCACTGGGTTTTTGATTGCCTGGATTTCATCTGATGAGCTGTCCAATTGAGTCGGGTTACCTAATTTTCCCGAGGATTTAAAATGTAGAACCGTTGGCGTCGCATTTTTTGCATCTTCTGCCTTTGATTGCAACGCTAGTTCCCTGCGTGAGTCTGTTTTGTAATTTGTTACTGTTTCGTGGAGTCTTCTTGCGTTCGTTTTCTGGGTTTTTCTGTTAATTTAACATTCGAACATGACCTTATCGGTTTTTATGATTTAAAATTTACTTCTCTTGCATCTAGCGTTACTGTATAATCCGATTCTCTAACCACATTTTTAGTACATTAAAATGAGATTTCGATTTTAATCTGGCTTTTTTCTACAAAAAATTGTTTAACCTTTGGCTTGCGCTCCGACCACTGGTGCCTTCTGGGCCCCTTGCTGAGTTTTCCATGACGAAGCTTCTAATTTTACCTGCTGTCGTGTTTCATTACCTGGGAGTATGTATTCCTGATGAAAATTCGCACGCAGAGAACATCTACTTGCAGAGCTGATATTGGCTTTCGATCAAAATAGGCTTCGGACAATGTTCAGCCCACAAACGAACCAACCGTAGTTCTTATGCTGAATAAAGTCTCATTGATAGCCGTAGTTAGGGTGGTTTTAGCTTACGAATCAGCACAGTGTTTAAGTTTCATGATTTCTTTGGAAAAATTATTTTTCACCTAACGCGGGAGTCTTTCAACTAGTTTGAAAAGATCTTTATCAAATTTTTGTTTTGTGGTAAGCCTTTGCGTTCAGAGAAAGCAAAAAGAACAAGACATCTCTTTTTGGAGGTTTGTTCTTGACAGAAAATTAATAACTCATAGGATATAATAAGTATATAACTTTTGTGTGGCAAATTTTTTTTAACAAAAAGAGTAAGATTATTATCGACTTGATGAGTTTTTCTATTTGATCTATAATCAATTACAGTGGATTAGAAGAAATTATAAGGAAAATATCAACATCATAATCGATTACAAACACTTTAAACATGTCATAACAATACATATAATCAATTATGATTTTCAAAAAAGTGACATAAGGTTTCATTATAATCGATTACTTAAGCCTAAATTGTGATGTGGCTGGTTTTTCTCTAGACAGATTTCGATTTCTAAATATTTTAAGCATATGATATAAAAATACTTTTTGTGTCATAGTTTTTAACAAAGTATGATTTTTTTTAAAAATCATACTCGATTATAATTGATTTAGTAAGTTTTTCTATATGAACTATAATTAATTGCAGTACAGTTGATTAGAAGAAGTTATGATCTACAGGAAAATATCACGTTGAAAATCGATTATATATTCTTTAAACACCTAATTTGGTCATTATAATTAATTTCAATTGTCAAAAAAATGACATAATAATCCACTATTATCGATTACTTGCCTAAACTTGGGTGCGGGTGTGTTTTTTTTCTCTAGACAAATTTCGATTTTTTAACTAGCAATTTTTGACAAAATGTTTTTTATATATCATTCGAAAGGTACTGTTAACTTGAGCTCATATTTTTTGAAAAAATTTCAAAAATTTCATAATTCGGGACAATTAACGCACGATATATTTCTTGCTATTAAAGTGTAAGCGAAGATAAAAAAATCCGTCTTAGAAGTTTTTCCAAATTAGATAGAGGCTTGTTTTTTGGTCTATTTTATTTTTGGACATATGCAAAACATATTCATTTATACATTACATAGGGGGATGACTTAAAAAAACAACAAAAAAATCGTTTTTTGAATTTTTTTGTTCATTTTTTTGAAAGTTTCATCAATTGTTTGAATTGAAACTACTTCATAGAACATAAAACGCATTCAGGACATTCAAGGCGCTGCTTGATACGAGCATTTTTGTACTAATTACTGCCCCTGAAATATGTTAGGTTAAAAAAGGATTTGACGGGGCCAGAAATTAAAATGAGCAATTTAAATGGTAATAATTAAAATTGCGTTCAGCCTTTCAAACTAGTGACCAAATAACATAGTACTTAATTTGATCAATTAATCTTATCTATTCACCTTTGAACTTTCATTTGATCTTAGAAATATGCAGTTTATCAGGATCTGGAGATAGCAAAGCTTAACGCAAACTGATTATTGTAACTCTGAATTATTTTCATTGATTTCAGAATATATCAAAACTTGACATTATTGTTTTTCAGATTGCAATTCTTATATTTTATTAGTCGCTCTTTTTATTATTATTATCAAAAAAATTTTCTGATGGCCAATCAAGAGAAGATAAGTGGTTTTGTTTAGGTGTCTTTTTAATCCAAAATACTTCCCACCCATTTGAGGCTTACTATAGATTTATAACAGTTTTTTTTATAAAACTCATTCAAGCAAATCAAGCTCATTTTAAGTTGACCAACCCCCCCCCCCCCTCCTTCCTAACCCCCCTTGCTTCTCTCTTTCAAACCCACCGACTTAATTTGGCCTTCCTCATTTACTTTTTGGTCTAAAAAATTACTTTAAGCTAAGTGTAGAAGTTTGATTGTTTGTGTTTGAATGGTTGAGTTTCATAGAGCCAAATTACACGCTCCACGATGAACCAGGAGAGGGCGGGGGAAAGGGGAGGGGAAGAGACGTGGATAAAGTTGAAATGCTCGTTTTTTTTTTGTTTTTTCTTCTACTCTCCTGAACTTGACGTTGAATTGGCGTTAAAACATTTTAAAAATTGCGGATATACTTAAGACAATCAGATTTGTTCACCCTTCGAAACTCAACTTTGCCAATTAGAGTCCTACTAAATGATGAAATTTAACTTATATTAGTTACACATATTTTGATTGGTGGCTAAATTATGTCCATTTAAAATTTAATAACAAAGAATATTTAAAATTTACACAAAGAATACAGAAAATTTAATAACTTAACAATTTTTTCAGGGGTTATTGTGAATAAAAAAAAACATAATATAAACCGACCGAAGACAACTTTTTTTGTTCAATCAACACTCATTTACAAGTGCCTATTGTAATAATATTCTCCTCCATAAATGTTGACTGAGGAGCTTCATCAGCCTGAGCCTGAAGATGCGGCTGTCAATCTGCAGAAGATTATGAGGAGTGACGTCATCAAACTGTTTTACGTGTCCAAAAGTGATTGGGAGGGGGCGAAACAGGTGGCGCTTCACTTCTCAGCTCTCGTCATTTCCGGTTATTCGGTTTTCCTTAACCCCCCTTTTTCAAAGGGGGGGGGGGAGTTTGCTTTTAGTTACAAAAGAAGCATATGCTTTAAAAATGACTAACTATAGTTTTTTCTGCAATTATTTATCTTTCTCATTTTCCTGGTCTGGTTTCTGTGTTTTTTATTTATATTCAGCGCTTTTTTTTGAAAGGATTTTTTACTGAATACCTAACAATTACTGATTACCTAACAATTACTGAGTACCCAACATGCGTACCCACGTTTCTATAGTTCTTGCCAAATTGTTGTTAATATCTTTTTTAGCCACTGATTTTGAACGAAGTTAATTGACTTAAAATTGCTCTCTTTGGCATCTGAAAACAATTTTAAGTTCATTTGAGCACATACAAACAGTGATTTTTAGCACCTAGAAAATCTTATTTGTATGGGAGCTCCGTTTTTATACCAATTCAGTTGCACAAGGTTACCGATAAAACCAAGAATATATGGCATTCACAAAGGCATCAAAAAGACACGCTTCAGGACAAAAGGATATTTGCATATATCAAAGTTTAAAGCAGACCAATAAGCGGGTCTTTATTCCATTTGAAACTATTTCCAAGTCTGATTAGAAGCCGCCATAATTGGCTAAATTGGGAAAAACCGCCATAATTTTACAAAAAAATTACAGGTAAAATATTTTTTTTTAGGATTGAGCTCAGAGCAACAGTACTTCTGGAAGGATATTGATTTTTTTTTCAAACATCGCTATATAAAAAGTCGAAATTTGTCTCGAGAAAAAAAATCCACCCGAGCACAAACATTTTGTCACTTTTTTCGAAAGTCGGAACAATAAAACAGAGATTATGATGCATGTTTTATGTTATATTAGTCCGCCTGAACCCTTATCTTAAAACTCACGACAACCTTATGTTTTGTTTCAGGAACGTCAATGAGGTGAGTGAAAAGAACTAAACATGACTTGTTTAAAACTAGTGTCAAAAGTTATACAACTGCTGTTTTATTTTCATCATAAAATTTACATGCTTTCATTGCAAGAATTCGCATCAAGTTTGAAAATCATTAAAAAAGTTTTGTTTTTGAAACCAATTTAGAATTTTTTGAGGAATAAAAAGCCTCAGACAAGAAAAGTTTAAGAAGTCAGACTGTCCATACAACATTCAATAATCTGGAAGCAATTTTGAAAGTAATAAGCTGTTCTGACAAAACAAACATCGCTGAACTTTTTTTCGTTTAAAATGCGATAAAACTGTTCGTATATCAGGGCGCAGCAATAAATGTTCTGACTGCACTTTAAGGTTTCAAACGAGAACTTTATAGGTTTTTTGGCTTGAAAAATTGACGAAATAGTTGAAAATAGAGTATTTTTTAGTTTTTTTTAAATTTATCGGTTTGAGAGCTATGAGAACAAAACTAACTTGGTGACCTAATTTTGCAAAACTTGCAACTTAAATTTAAAAAAATTGGGTCGTTTTTTTTGTTAATCAAAAATTACGCTAAAACTACAACGTTAATTGATATGAACATCATGTCAAAAAATCTTTTAAGCAGCGAAACAAAACTTCAGAAGGATAAAATCTTCAAAAATATGTATAAGAGAAAATAGTTTTGCTTGATATTTTTAGAAGTTCATATTTACTAATAAAAACTTTTTGCTTGAAAATAAACTTTAAAAGTTTTGTCCTTACATCTGGAGATTTTAAATACATATCAAATGCGGCTTGAACCACTGAATTCAACTAAATTATTGTTTAACTTAGTGTTTTTAGCGGAATTCTTGATTACTAAGATAAACCATAAATACCTATTTTTGTGATTAAAATTATGTTGTAAAATTTTTGTGGTAAAACCATAATTTTTGCGGTAAAATTTCAAAATGCACTTTATTAATTCTGGTGATTTATAAGCATATTTTCTCCTCCTCATTTTTGTCGAATCTAAACGTTATTTGATAATAACGCATTTGAATTTCTGTATTTTCTTGTTTTGTCCGGATAGTTGTGCTTGAGATTAGCAAGCATTATTTAATCGGAATATAGACTTTTTTGGGTAACAAATTTTTATCAGATTACTAGAATTAGTTCTATTTTAGTTCAAAATGAATTTAAATTTTAATCCGTGTACGGCACTTAGACTGGAGGCGAAGAATACGCCTGGAAGAATATTCATTTCCAAAAATCTCGGCCTATAGTTTGTCTAGTTATGTTTTGTCGGTTTAATGGCTACGTTGTAGAATTGGTTTTTTAACGCAAATTTGATTTTAATTGATTTAAGTGTGTTTTGATTAATTCTGCATTTTTTATTTTACTTGCTTTGACTTCGTATTTTTTACTGTTTTTGTTTTTGTTTCGCTTAAAAACTATATTCGGCTTGAATGATTTCTGCTGATATTTTATGAGCTTTTGACCTAACTCGGAGTCTTTTCAGGGGCGCATGAACTTATTTCAGTTTTTTCGGCTCAGTTACCGCTTTTTTATTAAGTGTAAATTTTCATTAATTGCCGTGGATTGGGATTGTGTTTTCGGACGTGTTATGCAAAAATGAGAACATGATGCCAGACAACAATTTGATTTTTTTTTAAGTTTTTTTTTGTTCAGTTTTTTCAGTTTGTTTTGAGCTTGGTGGTTTTTATGTTGTATCGCAAAAATGTCTATTAAAATCAGCACTGTATTGAGCATTATATATCCCAAATTGTTCAAATTAGCATTTTTCATACCCCCTTAATTTTACGAAAACTGATCAAAGGTGAAATATCTATTCGAAGTTGAGCTCAGAAAAACAATATCTTTGAAATGGTTTAAAAAAATTGTCCAAAATATTTTAATTACTAAGTCGAAAATTGAACTACAGAGAACCACCCAAAACATAAATATTCCAAACTTTCTTCTTGGAAAATTGGAACAATAAAGAAATCGATAAACGTTTTTTTCCAAACCCTGTCAAACAAGCTAAAGATATTCTATCCACAATATTAAAGTAGAGTAAAAATTATCATCGACCAATTTTTTCCTACCAAATAGTAGCAAATTTCTTGAAATTTTTTAGGTTTTGAAAAGATGAAATCATGTTTTTAAGTCAAATCAGGTTTATTTATGAGTAAAAGTATCATTGATTTTTTTGTAAAATGACGGATTTCTTTAGAATTATGGCCGCTCTCAGAACGCATTGTTCGGTGACTCGTAAAAAAAGTTGCTTGTTGAAGTTTCCTAGAAAACTATTACTAAACCAGTTGTTAACAAGCAAACCAGCCTCAATCATTTTGAGCCCAAAAACTGTTGTCAGAAATAAATTCCGAAAAAACCGCTACTAGAGTATTCTGTCAAGTACACCTTATGCATTTCTATGTCTAGTTGGAGTGGTACTTCATGTTAAAGTCTTGCTGCAGTTGCCTTGGACTTTCTGGATCAGTCTAAGAGTCCAGGGCTAGTTTTCAAATAGTTGGATCAGTCTAAGAGTCCAGGGCTAGTTTTCAAATAGTTTTGCCAGAAACCAGGACTGGACTTTTTTTAAGTTGAAATTTCAAATTTAGAAAGGTATTCAAATTTGCTCGAAACAAGAATGGGAGCCTAGCAGGTGTCCAGGGCTGGTTTTCAAATAGATTTGCCAGAAACCAGGCCTGGACTTTTTTTAAGTTGAAATTTCAAATTTGCTCGAAACAAGAATGGGAGCCTAGCAGGTGTCCAGGGCTGGTTTTCAAACCTCTTGTTATCTTAGACTTTATGGCAGTGTTCTTGGATGGCCCCTGTCAGGAAGTCCATGATTGCTGAACAAAGTTCTCTACAGAGAACCATTATTTTAAACTTTTTTAAATGATTTTTGTATTGTTTTTTAGCTGAAATTTTTTTGCCCTGCCCTCAATTACAGATCACATTACGACTGACATTTTAAAGAGAGATATAAGAGGTCTAACAAAGTATAAAAAAATTCTTTCTAATTCAGTTTTTTAGTTTTCAGGTTGGGTTTTGATGTAAATGGTAAAAGCCTTGTTGACTTAGGTCTCAAAACTGTTTGCATTATCAGGATACTGAACGAACACTCCATTCTATGGACTATGGCTCTCCTCATTCATGGCTTTCTACTGTCCTTCTTGTTCATGGGGTTGCACGAGAACGTACATGGCACTGCGTTCCGGAGTACACAACTTTCTAGAATGTTCCAGAACTTGTTTGGCTTTCTGAGCTTTCGACCTCCGACTCACTACTACTATTACCACTGGGCTCATCACAGACACACGGGCGACAAAAACAAGGAAAACATCACCCCTTTAAAGTCAAACAAGGAAAAGCCAATAAATAAACAACAAAAGTCCCCGTTGACCCCCCCCCCCCCCCTCCCCTCACACACAAACAGCCATATATTACCGCTTCCTCGTTTCTTGATCACTACTTGATTTTTTAAAATTTTATGATTCTTTGTAACCCAAACGTGAAATGTTCCACTTCCGAATCCCTACAATCGAATATACCCAGACAAAAGCCCCAACACTTCTCAAGTGTAAAGAGAATATATTAAATATTAAATATATTAAATCGAGCACCAAAATGTCAATATGATTAAGATCATTTATCCACGAGGGATAGGACCAACATACGAGCTGTACAGCTCATCACGGCGAACCGCTGTTGTGCCCCTGCTTAAGAACTACATGCAATTTTTTTGATTATTTTTCTGGGCTGGGTAATGTTGCCTCACCCTCAAGCAATGATGACTCTTAAGGGTGATGTTAATGAAAGGATCCGGAATTGTTCAATTCATTGATTGACATGGATATAAACAACTCTTTCAAGTACTTTGTCTACCTATCTGGAATTCCTTTTTGGATCGACCGATTTGCAACTCTTTTCCGCCATTTTTTCGGAGTTTACTACAACGAGCCCAATGATATAGAATACTATTTCAAAAGTGATCTAAGCCAAAGTCGTTGCACAATGGAAGCAAGAAAGTATGTTCTGATTTATTCCGCTCTTGTTTTGATTGGCTGTCTAAAACCTCCAATTGGATCGTTGCTCTTTTACTATTGGCTGCTTCCCTCGTTTGTAGGACAACCTCATCTAAGGTAAAAAATGCAACGTTTCAAGGTAACTTTGCTTATTTTTGACGAGTATTAAAACAAGAAAAACTTGTTGATACTTAGGGGAAAGTTGTTTGATAAAATTTGTCCAGCCAAAAACTATTCTTTACCGAGTAATCAGTTTTTTTTTCTGTTGTGCGGGGCTGGCAAAAACAAAACAAAAATATTGGATCATTTTAAATTCTTAATTATTCTATAAGATTAAGTCTGATTTCCGCCAACATCTTCACTGCAATATACTTTGGTCGAAAACGACTCTCATCCAAAAGGACATTGTTTCCGAAATTACACAATCAAGTTCAATTTTGTGGGTCTCAATCAAAACATTGTTCTCCTAAGCATAAACTCATTATAGTGTCAACTGACATTATAAAGTTTTTTTTGCTACTTGAGAGTTTTTTTCAATGTACTCTGAAAGGAGCGTAATAACGATGTTGGCAGTGAAAATCATGAACATCAACTGAATTGTGTTGGTTTTTTATTTCACGTCCTTTTATGGGTCATCCTTAGGTAGTTTTAGGTTCAACTTAAGATCCGCCACTCCCACTGGGGTTTCATCAGTTAATCATGTTTGATTCCCAACAAGCAGCTCTGAGTAGTTTTGACTGAAATTGAATCGCGGAGTGCGATGGATTTTTATTTGGTACATATGTGGGTTGGATGTTCACTTGGTTCAATTTTACAATTTAAGTTGCATTGTAACTCAGAAAACATTCATTTTTTGTCATCCATGAGTCATGCCTCCATTTGTAGATTCTACCTGCTGGCGGAGCATCAGGGCTGTGCCGCAGACAGCTCCCGCATCTTCGACAACACCCGAAACATGTCCACTCTATGGCTCTATGTCCGCCTGGCATGGTGCATGCCATACCACGCCACACATCACGCATGGCCAGGAGTACCCTTCCATAGACTAAAAGAGGCCACTTCCCTCTATTTAGTCTCTCAAGGGGATGAAAAGGGTATAAAGAGTAAATGTACTCCAAGCGGGGATGATGGGTATGTGTTGTTCAACTACAACTTCATCGACACGCTGAAAACTGAACGTGAAAACAAAAACAAATACTAAGAATTATTTTCTCGGATATTTGCATATATAAGCATCCGAACTGACAAAAATGGTTTCGGATTGATTTAAATTAATCGATTAACAATGTACATTTTACGAACATAAATGGATTTAAAATCGTTTTAAATAGATCTTTTTGAAAAATTTGGATCAATTTAACTGTCTTAAAAATCAATTATATCGATTCGGATGGATTTTCCGACTCACTAAAATTCATCCAAAACTCACTTAAATCTATCCGAATCGCACTTAAATCCTTTTTAAATTGATTTAAAATCGATCCAAATTGATTAACAATGTACATTTTACGAACTTAAATGGATTTTAAATCGATTAAAATCGAACTTTCTTGAAAATTTTGGATCAGTTTAACTGTCTGAAAAATCAATTTTGTGAATCAAGAAAAAAGTCAATATGGAACTCAAAATATGCAAAGAAATCATAGAAATTTATCGATATTTTGGTCTTTTTATTTGGTCTTTTTTGCTACAATACGCTATGAATCACAGAGGAGCTATCAGTAGGCCTTAGCAGTCATGTCAAGGATAGTCCATTTGTATTATCTCCACACATTCCAGACAGTGTTATTTTTGCAGAGCGAAGCTATTTTTTGCGACTCAAGGCCGTTTTTTTTTGCGTCTAGAACTTTTACGTGGTACCACTATTGCAGCCAAGTTTGGTCAGGTTGTGGTAGACCTGAAGCTGGAGGTCAAGTGAGAGCTTGTCCTCACACACTATCATTGCCATGGCATGGGATCGGATACACAATCGGACGATTTCAAAGTGAACGCCTTACCACTGTGCTTAGTGCCTCCTCAAATGATTTTTCACGTCCATGAAAATATTTTTTTCACACAAAAAGCCATTTACTCAATTGTTTTCTGCAAAAAAATTATTTATTTATCTTGTCGCACTTTTTCTGCAGGACTATGACAAATCTTGTATGTTTATTGAGTTTCGGATTTCGAATGCTTCTGATATCGCCAAAACAATAAAATTGTCCTGAGGGATTTCCTCCCAACTTTTTAACGACATGAGTTCGGCATATAACAAATTTGATTTTTTAGTCTTTTTTGACCGTTATGGTGATTGGGTTGATGAATTGTTTGTCTGAACATTTATCTAGCTTTTTGATATGTTTTTGGTCAATTAGTTTATTTAGTTTCACTTCCACTCGTTCTTTTAGATGACTCGGTATTCTTCGGCCTTTTTGGGGGATCGGATTGATATCCTGAAGAAATTGAGTTCGCATCACGTGGTTTTTTGATTTTCCGATTCTCACGCGAAGTTCCTGAAAGTTATTTTTAAAACAGTTTTTTAGTTCTTCTTCTGACGCTTCTTCTTTCTCATGAAATTTTAGTATCTGCTTGTGTTTTGGTTTGTCTTGTACGAGTTTGATACCAATTTTTGTTAGGATATTTTGCCCGATGTTATTTGCCTTCTGATCGTCTACGATGATAAACGGAGCCAATTGGATTATCCAACCTCCGGATTCCACCGCAAAATTTAGTCGCCCTTTTGGAACGATGTATTTCCCATTACAACAGGCGAGGTTTTAGGCGGCATCCGCCGGTGATATGAGTTTAAATATTGCGGAGTGATCCTTTTGGCAAAGACTTTCTGCCGTTTTTTCGTTTAGAAACAACATAGGGCTTTCTGAAGCCAGGGTGGAGAAAAAATTTTCTGATTTTGTCTTTAGTTTTACTATATGTCAATTTAAATCTTCTTCTGGTATGTTTTTTGAGTTTTGGATTTCGCGGGCTTCTGATATTGCCAAAACGGTAAGTTGTCCTGAGGGATTTCCTCCAAACCATTTGCCGACATGAATTCGTCGTATGCCACTGGATCATTATCAACCCCTGTGGTGATAGAAATGTCTTCTTCGTTATCTTGTTGATGATTGCCAGTTTCCTGCATGTAGTTAACATTTGTTGATCTACATAGTTTAGCGAAGTGGCCTCGTTTGGCGCACTTTGTGCAGATTCTGTCTTTTGCTGGGCATTTTGTGCTTCATTCTGTCTGCCAAATTTGCAGCAGGTCTTGTTTTGACCTGTCTGTTACTTTTGTTGCCCACGTGGGTTATATGTTCTCCAAAGAAAATTGTTCCGACCTCGCGAATTTCCCCGGCCACTCTGGTTATTTTGACACGCGTTAGTTTGGTTGCCACGTGGTTGAAAATAACCAATCGGTTTTTGTTACAATGGTGTGTTTGCGGTTGTTGGAGCTCCAAATGGATTTGTTTTCATCGCCTAATATGTTCCATGCCTATCTCTTTCCTGATTGCATATTCATAAGCGTCTCGTGGTGATCTGGTATCTGGCAACAGTTCTTATGCAATCTTTTCATGAGAAATGTGCGCCGCGAACATATCACGAACCCATTTGTCTTCTGGATCCCCAAAATCAGCGCGTGATGCCAGTTCTACCAAATCCGCATGGAATTGCTCCAACGTCTCGTTTTTTCGTTGCTTCCGACAAATGAAATTGTACCTCTCAAAAGCTATGATTCGTGTGACTACGAATATGTGTTCTAGTATTCGCATTAACTTTTTTGTAGTTTTTGTTTGTATACCGAGGCTTGGTCTTTTTTGTTTCAGTTGTCTCTGCCCTTCTGCTCCTAGACACAGGAATATGTAGGTTCTTACGTTTGCGTTTGCGTCGTCCCATAGTACATTATTACACAGTCCGCCCTTGTCTCTGCTTTTGATTAACTTATTTTACCAAGTGACTCGTTTTTCTTGATTTCTGAAGTCTCTATTACGTTTCTGTGCCTCCGTTTTTCCAGTGATTTCAACCTCGTAGGTTGGTTCATTTGGTACTAGCGCAGGAGGTTTTGGTCTTAAAAAAACTCTTACCTCTATCCCATCGCTGGCAAATACGGCCATTTCCATTAGTACCGCCCATTTTGACAATTCCAATGGGAGTTCTACAGATTCCATCTGCCAGAATGATGGGACACTCAGCCGTTTTTTGTATCCTGCTGACTGCGCCATGTCATACCGTAATGTATGATTTCTTTAAAGAAACCGAACGGATTGGCTAGATCTATCTAAGTAACTTTAGTTGAGAGAAGTCGCTGAACATAAATCTGAATTCACATCAACTGAACGTTATAGCTAGGCCATATGGTTTTGTTTATCATCAGTCAAGGCCACCAGTCTGGTCTGTGATAAGTTATGTTTACATTATAAATAGATGAAAATACTTAGTACTGGTTCATGCCAATCCGGCCGGATGACAGGCATCAAAACTGTTCATGTATACATCTTTCATTTATTGCATAAGACTGCTACTTTTCAAAATTTCTCCGCTATGACTTCGTTGCTCACTCATATAAAAGGCAATTTCAGATTTTCATTGTTGATTCTCAAATTTACAAGAAGTTAATAATGCATTGCAAACTTAGAAAAAAGTCATGTTAAATATTTCATATGCTTTAGTTTATTTATAACAGATGCAGGTCAATCAATTTAACATTACTGGTGTAATATTTACAGTTCAATATGCTCATTCGATCATTTCGTTTCGAGCAAATGGTTCAAAATTATATTTTCAGCCGACAGAAGCGTTTACTTAGGAAATCGTCACATTTTTCCAGACGTGAGGCGACAATTAGTAGGAGACCAAAAAGCGACGATTTGAAGCAGAGCAATTCTTGATTATATTAGTATTAAAAAGAATATTCCAAATATATAAGTAAGTCAAAATAAAATAAATTATCAATGCACAGCAACCTAACAGCCATGCTTTAGCGTGTGTGGTATTTAATATGAAAAGTTTCGTGGAACTACTAAGCAAGGAATATTGATTCGCTCGCAGTTTAATTGTCTGGCAAAGGATCTTGAATTTTCCCTGTTCTACTTGTGACCAATTGTCGCCTTCAAAGAATTGTCGCCATGCCAATTTTTTAATGCCGGTTATGAAAATACTCCGGTTTCTGGTTCTTTTTTGGCTTAAAAATCTGTCGCACTGGCATATTCTTGCAAAACACATACCAAATATGTCTCGAGTAAATTTAGTTTCTCCGTATTTATTTGAATGCGCGCGCCCCCATTTCTCGATTTCAAAATCATCATTTTTGGAGTCGAAGGCCAATTTAATGAAAACAAAAAATCCTTAGAAAACTGATAGCAATGATTAGTATACTTTTTCCTTAAAACCGCCTCTATGCGTCAGTATTTTTAAGAGTTAATCAATAGTTTGCATTCCCTTTATCTTCTCCTGCATTTCATCATTGACGTTGGCTCTGGCGAATCTTCGTCCAGTCTCGTTGCCAAATATAGGGTCGGCTATCATTCTTCCCGTGAGGCATAAGTCCCTTAGAAACTTGTTAACGACCGAGAAAAACTGTGCGGGGTCCGTGGCTCGATCCTGCGCGAAAAGCTTCATAAGTCTATCATAAGACTGTGTAAGCTCCTCTACTTTTGCATCTAGGGACGTTATCATGCAATGACATTCGACGCTCAACACAGCTTCAGTCTTTTCGATGAAACTTCGGCTTTTTTCGTCAGTTTTAGCGCATCCTTCTTTCATGCGTTTAATGCAACCACGAGCATCGTTGAACATAATCGTCATTTTTCGGACTTCGGCAGTCAAGCTAGCGAACAAATCTTTTGACTTTCGTGTCTGTTTTTCGCTTTGAGGCGCCAACACCTCAACACCCGACAACTGGAGTTCCGACAACTTATGCAGAAGATCTGGGTCCTGTCTCCGGATAATAGCTACTAAGCTATGTAACAAGGTATAATCCGGTTTGACTGTACTCTTGGTTTGAGATAAATTGGGAAGGGTTTCGACCAGGGAAAACGCCAGAACACGATCTTTATGATTTTTCTCGTTGATGAAATTGATCAATTTTAGACAATGTTTTAAAACTCTTTTGAACTCGTCGTTGTTTTCCAAATCAAAGCAAAGTTTGATAACTTTTGTCAAATTCGTTTCGACTAGTTGGCCTTGTTCTTCTATTTCATTGATGGTTTTCAGAACTTCTAACTTCTCTTTATAGTGGGTGTCTTTACATAGATTGGACATTTGTCGAAAAGTTATCGGCGTCGTTTCATCGAGATTGTTTCCGTGTAAATTGAATACGTCGATATCGAGCTGCGTCGGCTGCAGGAAATTCAGTTCCGAAATAAGAGTAGCTTGATTTGTTTTGTCTTTGATGTTGAAAAATTCCATAAAGACGTCGCTTGTTGGTGAAAACTTGTGCTGTCTAAACAAAAGGGTACAGAAATTTTATCAAAATGTTGCCTATCTTTATACTTTCCAGCTTTATTTCCATGTTATCAAAAAAAAAAAATTCAGACTAAAATTACACAATAATTAAGCCATCGTTTTGCTCAAAACTTTGAAAACCAGAAGTTGTTTATTGCCTTGTAAGTAGCAAAAAAATTTACGACCACAGTTTTTTTTTTTTCAATTGAAGGAGACCAATTTTTGTTTTCAGAATTGAGAATTAAAATTTGCAATTACCGTCTGATTGTTTATTTTACGTACTGGCCCAGCGGCGGATCTAGGATTTTCTCGAAGGGGGGGGGTCAGATTTTTCGAACATTCTGTTGACCTTTTTTTTAAGTCGACCAATTTGGTTTTCGGAGCTCTCCCGAAGCACTAAAAAGTCCTGTTTTGCCCAAAATTTCTGCGCCGTAGGCAAAAATTGAAAAAAAAAACAGGCCAAAATCGAAAACCTGCCCCCCCCCCAAACCGCCCCTGCACTAGTCCCTTGATCATTCAATCAACAATAGAATTAGCAAAAAAAACTAAACTTCTTTTGTTTTCGTTGAAAGACGGTTTTTTCGTTGAAAGACGGTTTCTCATGAGAAACTACAGCTGTAATACGTAGTTTTTCCCTGTGATTGGAATTAACAGCAAAAATGTTATCAGATCGCTTGAATGCTAAAAAAAATAGAGGCGGCAAGCATTTGTTATACTCACTTGAAGAACATTTCAAGACGTTGTGCTCGTGGTCCGCCAATTGAGTAACCGCCAAACTTGTTCTCAATCTGCCGAGCTCTCGACTGCTGACTGTTGTCGCTTCCGTCCACTGCAGCCGCTGCGGCGGGCAAGACCGGTGCCTCTTTTTTCTTTTGGTTGCTTTTCAATGCAAACAACGTGACTATCTCGTCTTTTTCTGATTCGTCAATATCTCCGCCAATCACGTTGTTGTTGCATTCGGTATCCCATATTGCATTTTTTAACGCGATCGAATCTTTATGTATTGGCCTAACTTGTATTGTCTTTAGTTGCGGGGGTTTACTTTTGAGTCTCCCCCAGAACCCCCCAGGAGAGGGAGGAGGTGGGGGTGCACTGATCGGTGGTGGAGGAGCAACCGGCTTTTTAACTCCAGATGTCCGATTTGGAGTGCCCCTTTGGACTTCTTGTTGAGGGCATTCAGATTTCACTAAGTTTTCGGATGAGTTGGTAACTTGATTCCGTTCTGGTTTTGGCATTACACTGTGTCGTTGGCTTAAATCTCTTTCCAACTTGTGTTTGAAAAATTGTTTTTTGGCTTCAACAGACGCGTAGTCTGGAAGTTCATGATCCAAATCACTACATTTTGGGTCTTCGGAACTGAAAGTTATTTCCGGTATTCCAGATGTCCCTTCATTGCTCGTGTTTACCGCCAAAGTCCCGCTTCCATCTTCATTTGTACAGTTTGCTTCGAGTGTCACGTCAGGTTTCGAACTCTCAAGGTCAGCAACTGAAAAAGAAATTTTCTACCTTTTTTCGAAAAAAAATGAACCAAGTGAAAACACTTACTTGGATTGTGTAGTTTTTGTGTTAATTTTTCTCCGGAAAACGTCTTAGAATATGATCACAATCAAGTTATACTTTTTTTCGCAGCGTGACTATTGATTGCTTTTAAAGTTTAATTTACTAATTTAATTTCTTTTACTAAATGGAGGGCAACTTACGCTCTCATAACAGAAGTTTTTTGGCTCAAAATTTTCAGTGATTTTTAGTTTCGGTTTTTTTAAGTTTTAGAGATTTTCTTGCGGAATAAAAGTTTACCTAGTGGCTCAGTTTTCTCTACTTGGGTTAGTTTTATGAAAAAAACCTCAGTTGCTAAAAATATTAATTTTTGAAAAGTTTTAGCGTGCTATATCCCCCTCCTAAATAAAAACAAAAATTAAAAACTGTTTCAAAAATCAAGTCACTCATGTTTTTTTTTTGCTTTTCTCGAGTTCATTACATTTCCTGTTAAGTATATGTTCAGGTGTCTCCTTATTTCAACGTGCTTGATTAGTGTTTTTTGTCGAAAAAAAAATCATGAATCAAAGAAAGTGGAAACATTATCAAAAGAAATGGCAAACTAGGCTCATGATGTTTACCTGATAGAACTTGCAGGACTTCAACTACTTCTTGTGGCTTTTTTTCCCAGACTTTAGAATCAACGTTTGGATTTTCAGTAACCGCATCATTCGACGCTCGTAGATCTGAAACAAAAACTACTTATTTTTTTAATCTTTCAATTTTTTTCCTACCTTTTTTTAGATTTTTCGACAAACTCTCATTAGTTTTCTTTTTTGCAAAAAAAAAATAAAGATGCGAGATGTCAAACTTAATTAGCCAAACTAAATTTAACTAGCCAAATTAAAAGCCAAAAGTTAGATGTAGGCTTGATGATCCTTACTTTTTACCGTATAGTGAAAGTTAAAGACTAGTATGTAACTTGGTATTCACTTATAAATACGATAAGTAGACGAGCAAACAAATGACCTATATCGAAACTGTTCGAGTCTTGAAAAACTTAGTTCCTCCGCTGGCGAAAATCATACGACGGTACCAATATGGCTGACCGCCCAAAAGGAAACTAAGGAAGCTGACTTTTTGAAACTCATAAGACAAAAACTAGAGATGACTCGACCCGGACTTGCAAAAATTCTGAACCCTCGAAATCCCTGCCTTAAGTTATAACGGTTCCCGGAAGTGCAAATAACCCTATTAGAGATCGGTAAATTGCGGTTGGAACGGTACTAAAATTTATTATGTTATGAGGGAAGCCTAATTTTGGAAACCCATACCTCCTAGACCCTTACTTCGGGCGTTATGCCGTAAGCAAGTAATCCCCACCCCGACTGCCGGCATGGTTCTCTGCTCCCGTTGAGCGCAAGAGCCAAAAATTTGGGATATGATAGACAGTGACGGTATGATGAGCCAAACCCGGCGGTTTGACCGGAAGTTATTAGCATTTGGGAAAAACAGCCCTTAAACCGGAAATAGGTAATTTACGCAAAACAATGAGCGAGGGCTTTTTAGTTTTAGGGCAGCAGTAGACATTATACACAAACCCCGAAAAATGTTTCCTTGTGAGAAAAACCCCTCAGGTGATTCTTTCAGGTGTTGAAAACCTTTCCCAAAAAAAGTGATTACGGACCTTGGAAATGGGACTTACGAAGTACTAATGGAATATGGATGAAACTGGGCAGGCAGGACTCTCTTGGTATTCTGAACCCAAATATGGAAGATTTACCTCTGGTGACTCCGGGTGATCTTTAATTGACCTTCAGGCGTTTATGACCGACAAGGCGTAGAAATCCCCGGGATTAACACCAGAAACTTAGTTAGAGATAACTATAAAGAACTTGGATTATAGAACTAGTGTCGACAGAGGAAAAATTCAGTTGAAAACTAGCGAAAAGAGGACCATAGTATATGTCAAGACTTGTACGGAAGATCATAACTGTAACTATAACTAAAACTCAAATATAGAAACATGGCGAAAAAATTACGGGTAGTTTTTGTCTAGACAGAAAAGAAATAGCTACTTGTGAGGCAGTTGTGTTCTCGTATTATGAGACTTAATTGATCCGGAAAAAGGAACCTTAAAAGAAAAATGATCCGTAGAGACACTATTAATTTAGCAGATCGAACTGAGTATTTGTGTGGAATTAATGAGTGTAATTCGTTAATTAGGGTTCTCCAGAAAGAGAGGGAGAGAGATAGAGAGAGAGAGAGAGAGAGAGAATCGTTTAATTGAGTTGGCTGGAAGTTAAGTTGTAAATAGGCAATTGTGTTGATTCATCGCTGACCCTTTCCTTCGATTAGGTTATTAGAGTATTTTCTGCCCACTTTGAGCCTTCTTTATTAGAATTTATGTTTTTGAATATAATCGCAACTGGAAATTTCTGCGATTGTGAGATCGGATGAGATACAATTAAAAGCAGTGCAAAAGGAGCAAGTAACATAATACAGTACATCACAATTGACTCCAACTTAAACTACTCGGGATTGAGTATAGTAGTGAGTCACGGTCGCCATCTGAAATCACTACCCATGGAACCACTTTGCGGTCTCGTTAAGAGGGAGTGAGAGAGAGAGAGAGAAAAAGAGAAAAGAAATCAAGAGGAACAATCCCCTGAATCTACACTGAAATTTGTAATTTTAGTTGCTCAAATGAAAAACTAAGTATTGTGGTTCTTTGCGAAGGGTGACTCTCCACTTTTAGTTCAGAAAACTAAATTATTGTAAAATTTCCCGGAACTTTTCTTTGCAGCTCTAATCACGACATAAAGGGTTCTTTTGACAACCATTAAAATGGTATAGTAAGCTCGTGAAAAAATTAGGTCAAGTCGGCGTACAAAAATGGTTACAACGCTGAAAAGCTTATAAAATTGTTCAACAACGATGCCCCGATATTTCGGACAAAGGTATTTCAGCCACTTTGAAATTGAGACATTTCGGCCGAATGATTTAAGCCAATTAACTTTTCCAGAAATAGCTCATAATTTGCCGAATACAAAGGGCATTGGCAAATAGTATACGATTGATTGTGGCTAATCTAGTGTTTTCAGATGTCTCAAATTGAAATTGGTAGAAATGTCTCATTTTTAGACCGGCTGAAAAATCTGTAATTTGGCTTAAAAAATCAATATGATTTTGTTTGAAGTGTCTCTGCCCAAAATGTCTCAACACATCAAAAAGATAGGTTTGAAATGATGAAATTAAGAAAATGAATATTTTGATTAGAAAGACAGATCGACTTTTTTTTAAAAATGATTGGCTGTTATCACGAGCATTGAGTCAAAATGGAAATATGCACAAAACATAAATGAAATGACAAATCAAACCGCATTTTGGCTCATTTTCTTGAAACTTTTGCGGCAAAAACGTTAAAATAGAAAAAAAAATTAAAACGGCAAGAAAGGAAAAGCTTACCAAATTAATAAAACTGCTTCGTTTTGACCTGTCGTATGTTACTGTCTGGCCTTTATGAGCAGTATCGATAAAAATTTTCCTTTTAAACTTTCATAATTTAGGGGGGGGGTATAACCGAAAAGACTCTGTCCTGCCACCACTTGGCGGATTTGGTCATCAGTTTTTAAAGCTCGGATCTCTAATGCAGTTAGAGAGTTCAGTTTATTGAATCTTTTGATACCGCAAAGAATAACGTAACCCATGTGGTAACCACCCCTATAAAGAACTGGATCAATAGTTCAGCATATGCTATTTCCCCCTTCTGCAATAGTGGGATAGTTGAAGGAGATCCAGTTTGTAACAGCTGTAATAAATCCAGCATTTCAAAAAGAGCAAACCAATCAATTTACTTAGATTATTAAGTTGGTCAAGCGGCGAAGCATGAACCGAATCTGCATTACAAAAATCAAAATTGAAATGCAAAACATCCTTCCCAAATTTTTGCGAAACTGTTTGCTGCGAATCCTCTCAAATCTTCAAAGATAGGATGATTATGAGTTTGACATCTCAAAAATTGTTCATATGGGCCTACAAACCATCTAATTTTTTTTCCGTTTGTGTGTGCTGTTCTGTTTCCTCGGGAGAATCAACGGTAACGACTGGTGGTGGAATACAATCTTGTTCTGAAATATAAAGTGACACAGTTTTAGTTTTTGCCTGTTGTTCCGACTTTCAAACTAAGTGACGGAATATTTGTGCTCTGGGTGAATTTTTCTCCAGACAGGTATCGACTTTTTAACTAACAGCTTTTGTTGAATTTTTTACGTCTTATTCAAAGGCATTGTTGTCCTGAGCTCAAAATTAAAAAGATTTTTATCTGTGATTTTTTCGTAAAACTACGGGGGTTTAAAGATTGAGACACTTAACGCGCAATATGTTTCTTGCTATTAACGCGAAGTAAGCGGAAATTTAATTCGTCTTAGATATCTTTCAAAATTGGTTAAGGCAGGCTGTGTTTCATGAATGATACTTTACTAGGAGTGAAAACTATCAGTTTGTTCTTTACATCGCGTGTGGGGGGATCGTTTTTAAATAACTTCAAATTTTAAGTTTTTTCTTTTTTATTAATAGGCCAAACTCATTGTTTTGTGAACTGTGAGCGGATTCCGCAACAAAGACGCTCTTTTTGTTCTTCTTTTGCACCGTCATTTTCTGTCATCAATTGTTTATAAAAACAAACACTGCTCCATAGGGAACATTCAGGAGTTCACCCTAATACGAGCAGTCTAGTTAAGTTTTGGTTCAGAGCGCAACAAGACTGCTCGTGTATCAGAGCAAAGCCCTGAATGTTCCGACTGTCTTCTAATTCATTTCTAATAGTTTTTGGGAAAATAAAAATTTGAAAACCTTTAAATTTTGGACAAAATTAAGGTGTAAAATTTTGAGCCGTAAAAAATTTACGCGACCGATTAGCTATCCTCTAATCAATTTGGAACGATTTTGCTGTGCGGGATAATTCGCCACACATAAATAATTCGCGTTACGGTCACAGCATCGGTAATAAACTCCTCAAAGCGCGCATAATTTACTACAGAACATTGCCAGTTTGGCAATTTTCAAACGCCCAGATCTTTACAAAAAAACGCTTAGAGGTGAAATAGCTTTTTATATTTAAACTCAAGAAGTCAATATCTTCAATGTGGATAAACAAGTTTTGTTGAAAATCCTTACTTCGATCGGCGAAAACTGACCGAACAAAAATAAATATTCGAGTATAAACTTTCCGTTTTTTTTTCGAAAGTCGGAACAATAAAAAAGCATTGACCTGATTGAAATGCACTGACAAAGCTGTTTTCAATTAAACAATTTTTCGAGCTCCTTTTTGTACTTGTCCAGACTGCTTTTGTACTTTTGCTAAAAACCACTGTTACTCACGGACTTGAGAAAAAAAACTGTTGAAACTTTTTCAATATAATATTTTTTTCAGGCCTGTCAAATTTGTTTTCCGAGCTCTTCAAAAAGACCGCAAGGATCATCTTAGCCACAAGTGTTTGAGCCACAGGCAATGATCTAGAAAAACAGCCGAGTGCTTTTCAGGCATTTTTTGGAAGGTTTTGATAGAAAAGTTTTGGAGCGCGCTCTCCCTGAGAATTTAATTTCTTTAAAAACACCGCAGTAATCATTTTTGCCAAAAAAAAATTTTCGCCACAGGCAAATTTTTAGAAAAAACACAAGTGCTTTTTTGTGCACGTTTTGAAAAAATTGATCAAAAAATGTCAAACAACTGACCAAAAATGCA